GTGTGTAGTTCAGGTGTAGTGGAGTGTGGAGCTGTGTGTGTAGTTCAGGTGTAGTGGAGTGTGGAGCTGTGTGTGTAGTTCAGGTGTTGTGGAGTGTGGAGCTGTGTGTGTAGTTCAGGTGCAGTGTAGTGTGGAGCTGTGTTGTGTAGTTCAGGTGTAATGCAGTGTGGAGCTGTGTGTGTGTATTTCAGGTGTAGTGGAGTGTGGATGTGTGTGTGTGAAGTTCAAGTGTAGTGTGGATCTGTGTGTGTAGTTCAGGTGTAGTGGAGCTGTGTGTGTGTGTAGTTCAGGTGTAGTGGAGCTGTGTGTGTAGTTCAGGTGTAGTGTAGCTGTGTGTGTAGTTCAGGTGTAGTGTAGCTGTGTGTGTAGTTCAGGTGTAGTGTAGCTGTGTGTGTGTAGTTCAGGTGTAGTGCTGTGTGTGTGTAGTTCAGGTGTAGTGCTGTGTGTGTGTAGTTCAGGTGTAGTGCTGTGTGTAGTTCAGGTGTAGTGCTGTGTGTAGTACAGGTGTAGTGCTGTGTGTGTGTAGTTCAGGTGTAGTGCTGTGTGTGTGTAGTTCAGGTGTAGTGCTGTGTGTGTAGTTCAGGTGTAGTGCTGTGTGTGTGTGTGTGTAGTTCAGGTGAAGTGCTGTGTGTGCGTGTAGTTCAGGTGTAGTGCTGTGTGTGTGTGTAGTTCAGGTGTAGTGCTGTGTGTGTGTGTGTAGTTCAGGTGTAGTGCTGTGTGTGTGTGTGTAGTTCAGGTGTAGTGCTGTGTGTGTGTAGTTCAGGTGTAGTGCTGTGTGTGTGTGTAGTTCAGGTGTAGTGCTGTGTGTGTGTGTAGTTCAGGTGTAGTGCTGTGTGTGTGTGTAGTTCAGGTGTAGTGGAGCTGTGTGTGGTGTGTGTAGTTCAGGTGTAGTGCTGTGTGTGTGTGTGTAGTTCAGGTGTAGTGCTGTGTGTGTAGTTCAGGTGTAGTGCTGTGTGTGTGTGTAGTTCAGGTGTAGTGCTGTGTGTGTGTGTGTAGTTCAGGTGTAGTGCTGTGTGTGTGTAGTTCAGGTGTAGTGCTGTGTGTGTGTGTGTTCAGGTGTAGTGCTGTGTGTGTGTGTGTAGTTCAGGTGTAGTGCTGTGTGTGTGTGTAGTTCAGGTGTAGTGCTGTGTGTGTAGTTCAGGTGTAGTGCTTGTGTGTGTAGTTCAGGTGTAGTGCTGTGTGTGTAGTTCAGGTGTAGTGCTGTGTGTGTGTAGTTCAGGTGTAGTGCTGTGTGTGTGTGTAGTTCAGGTGTAGTGGAGCTGTGTGTAGTTCAGGTGTAGTGCTGTGTGTGTGTAGTTCAGGTGTAGTGCTGTGTGTGTGTAGTTCAGGTGTAGTGCTGTGTGTGTAGTTCAGGTGTAGTGCTGTGTGTGTGTGTAGTTCAGGTGTAGTGCTGTGTGTGTAGTTCAGGTGTAGTGCTGTGTGTGTGTGTGTAGTTCAGGTGTAGTGCTGTGTGTGTGTGTGTAGTTCAGGTGTAGTGCTGTGTGTGTGTAGTTCAGGTGTAGTGGAGCTGTGTGTAGTTCAGGTGTAGTGCTGTGTGTGTGTGTGTAGTTCAGGTGTAGTGCTGTGTGTGTGTAGTTCAGGTGTAGTGGAGCTGTGTGTAGTTCAGGTGTAGTGCTGTGTGTGTGTGTAGTTCAGGTGTAGTGCTGTGTGTGTGTGTGTAGTTCAGGTGTAGTGCTGTGTGTGTGTAGTTCAGGTGTAGTGCTGTGTGTGTGTAGTTAGGTGTAGTGCTGTGTGTGTGTAGTTCAGGTGTAGTGCTGTGTGTGTGTAGTTCAGGTGTAGTGCTGTGTGTGTGTGTGTAGTTCAGGTGTAGTGCTGTGTGTGTAGTTCAGGTGTAGTGCTGTGTGTAGTTCAGGTGTAGTGCTGTGTGTGTGTGTAGTTCAGGTGTAGTGCTGTGTGTGTGTAGTTCAGGTGTAGTGCTGTGTGTGTGTAGTTCAGGTGTAGTGCTGTGTGTGTGTGTGTGTAGTTCAGGTGTAGTGCTGTGTGTGTGTAGTTCAGGTGTAGTGGAGCTGTGTGTAGTTCAGGTGTAGTGCTGTGTGTGTGTAGTTCAGGTGTAGTGGAGCTGTGTGTAGTTCAGGTGTAGTGCTGTGTGTGTGTGTGTAGTTCAGGTGTAGTGCTGTGTGTGTGTGTGTAGTTCAGGTGTAGTGCTGTGTGTGTGTAGTTCAGGTGTAGTGCTGTGTGTGTGTAGTTCAGGTGTAGTGCTGTGTGTGTGTAGTTCAGGTGTAGTGCTGTGTGTGTGTAGTTCAGGTGTAGTGCTGTGTGTGTGTGTGTAGTTCAGGTGTAGTACTGTGTGTGTAGTTCAGGTGTAGTGCTGTGTGTAGTTCAGGTGTAGTGCTGTGTGTGTGTGTAGTTCAGGTGTAGTGCTGTGTGTGTGTGTAGTTCAGGTGTAGTGCTGTGTGTGTGTAGTTCAGGTGTAGTGCTGTGTGTGTGTGTAGTTCAGGTGTAGTGCTGTGTGTGTGTAGTTCAGGTGTAGTGGAGCTGTGTGTAGTTCAGGTGTAGTGCTGTGTGTGTGTGTGTAGTTCAGGTGTAGTGCTGTGTGTGTGTGTAGTTCAGGTGTAGTGCTGTGTGTGTGTAGTTCAGGTGTAGTGCTGTGTGTGTGTAGTTCAGGTGTAGTGCTGTGTGTGTGTAGTTCAGGTGTAGTGCTGTGTGTGTGTAGTTCAGGTGTAGTGCTGTGTGTGTGTGTAGTTCAGGTGTAGTGTTGGTGTATGTGTGTGTAGTTCAGGTGTAGTGCTGTGTGTGTGTGTGTAGTTCAGGTGTAGTGCTGTGTGTGTGTGTGTAGTTCAGGTGTAGTGCTGTGTGTGTGTGTAGTTCAGGTGTAGTGCTGTGTGTGTGTGTGTAGTTCAGGTGTAGTGCTGTGTGTGTGTAGTTCAGGTGTAGTGCTGTGTGTGTGTAGTTCAGGTGTAGTGCTGTGTGTGTGTGTAGTTCAGGTGTAGTGCTGTGTGTGTGTAGTTCAGGTGTAGTGCTGTGTGTGTGTGTAGTTCAGGTGTAGTGCTGTGTGTGTGTGTGTAGTTCAGGTGTAGTGCTGTGTGTGTGTAGTTCAGGTGTAGTGCTGTGTGTGTGTAGTTCAGGTGTAGTGCTGTGTGTGTGTGTGTGTGTAGTTCAGGTGTAGTGCTGTGTGTGTGTGTGTGTAGTTCAGGTGTAGTGCTGTGTGTGTGTGTGTAGTTCAGGTGTAGTGGAGCTGTGTGTAGTTCAGGTGTAGTGCTGTGTGTGTGTGTGTGTAGTTCAGGTGTAGTGCTGTGTGTGTGTGTGTGTGTAGTTCAGGTATAGTTGTGTGTGTGTGTTGTTCAGGTGTAGTGCTGTGTGTGTGTAGTTCAGGTGTAGTGCTGTGTGTGTAGTTCAGGTGTAGTGCTGTGTGTAGTTCAGGTGTAGTGCTGTGTGTGTGTGTAGTTCAGGTGTAGTGCTGTGTGTGTGTGTAGTTCAGGTGTAGTGCTGTGTGTAGTTCAGGTGTAGTGCTGTGTGTGTGTAGTTCAGGTGTAGTGCTGTGTGTGTGTGTAGTTCAGGTGTAGTGCTGTGTGTGTGTGTAGTTCAGGTGTAGTGCTGTGTGTGTGTAGTTCAGGTGTAGTGCTGTGTGTGTGTGTAGTTCAGGTGTAGTGCTGTGTGTGGTGTAGTTCAGGTGTAGTGCTGTGTGTGTGTGTAGTTCAGGTGTAGTGCGTGTGTGTGTGTAGTTCAGGTGTAGTGCTGTGTGTGTGTGTAGTTCAGGTGTAGTGCTGTGTGTGTGTAGTTCAGGTGTAGTGCTGTGTGTGTAGTTCAGGTGTAGTGCTGTGTGTGTGTGTAGTTCAGGTGTAGTGCTGTGTGTGTGTGTAGTTCAGGTGTAGTGCTGTGTGTGTGTAGTTCAGGTGTAGTGCTGTGTGTGTAGTTCAGGTGTAGTGCTGTGTGTGTGTGTAGTTCAGGTGTAGTGCTGTGTGTGTGGTGTGTGTGGGGGGGGGGGAGGGGGGGGGTTCGGGCTGCACCAATCACAGCGGAGCTCGGGAATCGCTCGCGCACTCCGCTTCCATCCGGGTCCCGGCCGCCCGGGCTGAGCGCTCACTCCGGGAGAGGCAACAACATGGCGGAGGTGAGAGAGCGGAGCGGGGACAGGGGGGCGCCGCGGGGGGGACAGCCCGGGACAGGGACCCCCGGGGCCGAGCCCACACAGGGTGGTTGCGAGACCCACCAAAAGCAGTGGCGTCGTCTCGTTATTTTTTTTTCGCCGTGTGTCCGGGGTTGGGGGAAGAGGCGGAGAGAGGGAGGAGGGAGGGAGGGGGGAGAGGGAGAGACGCCGGAGCGGGTTCCTGGGGGTTGAGGAGGAGGAGGAGGAGGAGGGGGCGGCTCTGGGTCTAGGCCCCGGTGTCGCCGCTCCCTCTCCCCCTCTCCCCCCTCTCTCTCTCTCTCTCCCGCGGCGCTGTGTGTCTGCGCGCGGGGGTTTTTTTTTCCCCCCCCGTTACCGAATAACGGGAGTCGCTGGGACTGACCGGGGGGGCGCGGGGGTTGGGCGGCCGCGCCTCTCGGGTGGTGGTGGGGGGTTGGGGGCCTTGGCGGCGGCTCAGCTGATGGTGGTGGTGGTGGGGGGGTCAGGGGAGAGCCCCCGCCAGGAACTTAGTTGGTGGGATGGAGGAAGCTCGATCAGAGGGAGACCGAACCATCCAGAGGAGGAGTGGGGGAGAGAGGGGGAGATCATGAACCGACTGGGGGGGGAGTGGGGGATAGAGGGGGAGATCATAACGAGGGCGTGGGGGAGGGGAGGGGGGTTATAACCTGGTCACAGGGGGGGAAGGGGCCACGTTATAAAGTTAGCGATAATAAACTGACCGGGGGGGGGGGGGGATTTTAAACCGACCAGTGGAAGGGGAGAGAGAGAGATTTTAGAACAACTTCAACAACTTGCATTTGTACAGCGCTCTTTACGCACAGTAGTGGGCCCGGGAGCGCTTATATAGTAAACGGAGGGGAGAGGGGGGGGAGAGATTAGAGACTGACAGGAGACGGGTAGAGAGAGATAGAGAGATCACAAACTGTCCGGGGTGGGGGGAGAGAGAGAAGGTCGTGGTTGGACTTGCACCCAAATGTGTGTGTCTGTGTGCAGTTGTAAGTGTTACGTGTGTTTACTTATTATCAATTTACACTTAAAAATTCAATTTCAGGCTTCCTATGGAAGTTCGAGCCCAGGTACGTGGTGATCTGGCTCCCTTTCCCCCAGATTTCAGCAGGAAATCGATTCGAGGTGTTTGGGTGTGGTCTTTTAATTGCACACAATATTGTGGTTTTAAAAAGTTACTTTATTGAAAAGATATTGAAAGAAAAATGTATGCCAGAGATTCTTGGAAACTGAACTGTGAGTAAGAACCATTGAAGTCATTTTTAATCCACAAAATAAAAACCTGGGAACTTTTGGACTTTTTTGTGGTCGAGTTTTCACGTGAAAATGTGACAGTATTGAAAATTGGTAGAAATCTGTAACTGATTGCACTTTCTACCTACATTAAAGGTAGTCCGAGAACACCATAATTTTTCCCAAAAACAAAAAAATAAGGCTCTGGGAACACCATAATTTTCCCCCGTATAGTTTAAAATAGCTCTATGATTCTTCTGTGATGTTTACATCCCCTGTAACAAATGCGGATGACTTGCTCCATAATATATTACTAAGAACGCATCAATACCCATCTGTATATGTATATGATCATATAAAGTAGCTGATTGGTGAGAAACAAATTTCTCCAAAAAAAAACAAATTCTCCCAACTTTTCAGCACCCAAAATATGTTTGCATCACGCTAGTTGATCTGGGTTCGATTCCAGGACAGGGAGAGACATTGGGCAAGTTTCCTTATTCCACACGCCTCTGTTTACCTAGCACTAAGTAGGAACCCGGTTGTTAGTCAATTGGTGGATCACTTTTCTGGCGGTAATAATCCCCTAAAAAAATTAATATCCATGAATGTTTGGCTGCCACCTTTCGCCCATAGACTACAGTCCTTTCACTTTACAGTATATTCTGTGAAGTGCTTTGAGACATCTCAAAGATGTGATAAGGCACTATATCTATAGGAGTCCTGTAGCTCAGTGGTTAGAGCACTCGCTTTGCAAGTGAGAGACGCGAGTTCAATTCCAGGCAGAGCGAAACCTTGGGCAAGTTCCTTACTCCACACAGAGCCTAATCATAATCCCTCCAAAACAAAAAACAATAATAAATTGGTCATTTTCAATCCACGACTGTTTGTGGGACATTGCTGTGCACAATTGGCTGCCGCGTTTTGCCCACAAATATATAGTCAATTCACTTTACAGTATATTCTGTGAAGCTTTGGGACGTCCTCCCGACGTGCAAAGTGCTATATCAAATGCAAGGATTATTATTATATCATTCTATTACCAAGCATGCCACCTTGAAGGCAGCTCAAGGAATCCTATTCTCTCTCCCTCCACCCCCCCCAGGATAGTCCTTAATTAAGTAATTAACCAATAAAAATTATTACATAATTAAAAGAACTTGTAATTCCCTTTGTACATATTGTTTATACATGTTTAACACAACTTGCAAATTAGATTCCATTGAGCTATTAATCTGGGTGAATGGGTCTAATTTTTTTTAAATAAATCTAATGTACTACTTACCAGCAGTTTATATTTAATTTTGAAAGCTATTATACAAGGAAGACAGAAATTCTAGGTGTACAAGTAAAAACTTACAGATGGAAATATTTTCAATCATTTTACATTTGAAACGGAGTTTAGCTTGTTAAATGTCTGAACCGTTTGCTGCTTTGCACTTAATTGCTGTTGAAACTAATCTTGAATATACAGTATAACAAATGTGCAATTAAAATAGATCAAGAATGAGAATAAAGAAATTAAAGCCTTCAATTTGTGAATATGTATTGCAGCAAGGTACAGTGTATTTTACAGTATGGGGTCCAGTAATGCTATTATAATCAACTAGCATTATTCATACTCTTTGTAGATTTGGTTTTCTTTTGAGTGTCAAAAAAACGCTATAAAATGTAAACATCAGTACTAAAGATTATTATTGGGTCAGCCAGAGTACCCAAACAACTTAAGAAGGTCTGCATATGCATGGCACCTAAGCATCGAAATTTCCCTGTGTCTGGAATGGAATGCACACACGAGCTGGAGGACGCATCCTGCTTACCCAGTGCTGGAAAGTATTAGGAGCAGGTTTGCAAGATCAAAGCTTGTGTGTGTGTGTTGGGGTGTTTCTGGAGATTAATAAGTTAAAACCGCATAAATTACTATTGCACCGTAAACAAAACATCCAGTTGCTTGTCCAGATAGGACCAGTACCCATTCGGGCTTTGTTGGCTTGCAGTGTTAACAGGAGTGAGTGTGAAGAATCCCCCCCCCCCCCCCCCCCCCCCCGTTTTTGTTTTCCATGTTTAGTTACAAGACGTTTTAAAGCTCTTTTTAAAATAATTCATGGTCATTTCAATGAAATAAGTAAGTTACATTTTCTTAACATAATAATCCTTGCATTTGATATAGTGCCATATCACATCGTTGAGACATCTCAGAACTTCACAGAATATATTGTAAAGTAGATTGACTATCTTGTGGGCGAAACACGGCAACCAATTGGTCACAGCAGTGTCCCACAAACAGTCATTTGCTGTTGTCAGTTTCAAGAACAAATTAGATAGATTTCTGCTAGAAAATAATATCTCAGGATACAGTATATAGATCGGGACACGACATGTTAAGTGACTACCAGGATGGTGGAAAGTGAACTAGATGAACCTTTGTCTACTTTCGCCAAGCAAATTCTTATGTTCTTATAAGGAATTGGCAAGATGCATGAGTAAAAATTAAGCTACGTATATTTTAAGATATTGTGTGATAAATAGAGTAAGCGAAGACCCGTGATATCTAGATTCAGATAATGACGAAATGCTCCCTTGGTGTAACAATATTGATAAAGGAGTAGCTGATTTATTATGATGCATCATTTTGTGATGTACTATATGGGTTTGAGTTTTATTTTTCTCTAACCCATCTGTTGATTTACTGATTTTAAACTATAAGTGGCCCATTGAAACATTTAAAAAAAACTGTACATATATGCATTTAAAATGTAGATTAAATACAATTAGAAAGTAGTTGTTCAAATTCTACACTTTTGTGCAGTCGAATGAGATTGGTGCTGTGGATGAGTACTTGTTGGATGTTATTGAGCTTTACAGGCTGATGAGAAATGTTTCTGCAGCCTCTTTCCCAATGTCGAAAGGAAACTATACCAGATATCAATTTCTTGGCCTTCAAGTGACTGAAAAAACAGTGCTGAAATGCAATTTTTTCCATTTTTGCTTCCACCTTTGATATGAGCAGTGGGAGCTGCGAGGAAAAAAAAGGACATGGTATTAAACTTTTTTTGAAAGTGAAAAGAGAGAGAAAATTAATTTAATAGAGAACAATCTCAATTTAAACAGGACAAAGAATAGAGGATGAATAGTAGAAAAAATTGTAGAATTATAATATTGATCTAAAATAATATTTTACTTTTGTACATATCTTACTTCATTAATAAAGCTACTCTTGACATTGGAGAAGCTTTAACATTAAGATTCAATGTTAATCGATGAAATCGTCTGAAACTGGTTAAAGATTTTTCTCTAGATCGATTGCCAATCCGTAAGAGTGAATGTATTTCCATTTTTCAGTGGTGGTATACTTGAGCAAAAAATGTAATTGTACAGCCCATGTTCAACATACATTTCTTTTTTTTTCTTTGTAGTTGGCTCGTTGTCTTCTGAGGATCATGATTTCAACCCTACAGTAGAAATGCTAGTGCATGATTATGATGATGAGCGAACCCTTGAAGAAGAAGAAATGTTAGAGGGAGGGAAGAATTTCACTTCTGAAATTGAAGATTTGGAAAGGGTATGTCAAGATTTTTTTTTGTAGAAATGCTCAACTTCAGCAGTTCAAAATTAAAAAGTTTAATGTTTGATATTATAAAATTTGTTTATTTTTAAAAAATATTTTAAGAGTGTTTGCAAATTTAGGAGGTTATGGGAAAATAGCATAGCATGTGTTCCTCTCTCTCCCCAATCATCTGAACAGGAAAAAAAGGAGAAAGTTAAATGTCGCATTTATATTCATATATCTATTTTCGCAAATAATAAAGGGTTATTAGCTGCTAACCTCATAAGATTCCAGAACCTACTCTCCTCAATTTTGGGTGTTTTTGTGCTTTTTTGTTGCACTTAGAAAATTAAAACTAACAAGTGGAGTTCTGTAGCTTGGTGGTTAGAGCACTCGCCTCGCAAGAGAGGACCTAGATTTGATTCCCGGGCAGGGCGAAAAGTTGGGCAAGTTTTCTTATTCCACACGCCTCTATTTACCTACCAGTAAGTAGGAATCTGATTGTTAGTTGATCGTCGGATTGCTTTTCTGGGGTTAATAATCCCTTCAGAAAATAAATAAATAAAAATAATAATAATTTAGTCAGACAATCCACTACTGTTTGTGGGACACTACTATGCACAATTGGCTGCCGCATTTCACCCACAAAATTCACTTTACAGTATATTCTGTGAAACACTTTGAGACTGGCTTGCAGATGTGATAAGGCGCTATATCAAATGTAAAGATTATTATTATGAAGTTACGATAATATACTAAATGAATAGTCTCTCATTCAAAAATCCTTTTGAAGTTATTTTTTCTTCTATTGGGAAAATGTAATTGATTTTGGCACAAAAATTCCATCTTTACTTAAAAAACACTGCAGGTGAAACAGCTGGTGGTGGAGTACATAATGATTGCAGTGCATTCCCTGCATGGTGCATTCCCTACCTAAGCCATAATACAATGATGAGATGCGGAGTCTGAAGCCAGTACCTTGTTTTTTCCTCATGTATTTTGCAAACAACAACTTGGATCTATATAGTGCCCTCCGCGCCGGTACCCGTACCCTTTGCCTTCCTTCCTCCGGGTCTGGCCTCCTCCTCGTCCCCCGCTCCACCCTCGGCGGCCGTGTCTTCAGCCACTATGCCCCAAGGCTCTGGAATTCCCTTCGCCTCGCTCCCTCTCTCCCTACTTTCAGGTTCCTACTGAAGACTTTTCTTTTCAACCATGCCTTTGGTCCCCTTCCTCCCCCTCCCCCTGGCTTGGCCCTGGGATCTGTTGCTGTGAGGCGCTCTGAGATGCCGTCCGACGTGGAGGGCGCTATATAAATCCCAAGTTGTTGTTGTAATTGTTGAAATGGTAGATATTATAATAGATTGAACACTTTGTAAAAGTCATCTTAGCTAATTAAGTTGAATGTATTCAAAGGTTACAGTTGTTTGTGCTTAACAGGAGAGCAACATGCCGCTGGATGATTTGCTGGCACTTTATGGGTATGAACCCTCTGGTCCTGTGATTGAAAATGAGAATCCAGGAAGTTCACCGAGTGAGCTCGCTGATGAACTACCTGATATGACCCTTGATAAGGTAGTGCCCAAAATGAGATTTTATAATGTATTTGATTAAAAGTGAATTAATGGTTTGCATCTAAGAAACCTGGGGAGTAACAAATCTTTTTGTCTGGGGTTAACAGGAAGAAATAGCAAAAGACCTACTATCCGGTGATGATGAAGAAACACAGTCTTCTGCTGATGACCTGACACCATCTGTCACTTCTCATGAAACAACAGATTTGTTTCCACGCCACTTAAGATGTAAGTTGATGAACCTGAAACAAAAGTCCAAGACGAATGCATTCTTTTCAAACTCCTTACAGCTCTATCTGAAAATTTTTAACAATATCATACATTTTTGATCATGTAAATAATTTCAATTGTCAAATCGTAGAGACTACAATTTTGGGTATCTGACACTCCTAGGCTGTTCAGGTAACATTGACAGGGAAGACCTGTAAATCTCCTAGAGTAGGTCTACCTGATGTGAAAGGCGTTATACAAATGTAATTTGTTGTACTCTTTCAGTTGAGAGGGTGACATTTTAGGAAGATTCCCAGCAGTCTCAGAAAAACTTAGTAGTATAATAAGTAATGATCTTTGCATTTGGTATAGCTTCTTAACATCTCAGATCGCTTCATAGGATTTACTGTAAGTATAGTGACTGTTTTGTGCCCAGCAATGTTCCATCAGCAGCCATGAAGTGAATGGCCAATTTTATTTCGGGATTTACTGGCGAGGATACCGGGAAAAGCTCTCTTCTCTTTTCAAATAGTTCCATGTGATCTTTATTGTCCACCTAAAAAGGCAAATGGGACCTCAGCTTAATGTTTCATAGAAATACAGCATACCTCCAGCACTGCTTTGGAGTGTCAGCGAGACAGTGAGCTCACAGTCCCAGCATGGGGCTTGGACCTTCACCTTCTGACTCACGAGGAGAAAGAACATGCTACCATCTGAGCTAGGTTGACACCTGCTACTATTCCAGCTGGGTCATTCTTATTTTTCCAAAGTCAAGGTACTTCAGAAAGTTTCCAAGCCTACTGAAATATCTGTTTAATGATGTTAATGCGCCTAGCCAGGACATGTGTGAATCTTTGCCATCGATGACTTGATTGGAACGACCAAGAATAGAATACATCTAACATGGAAACAAACTTGATTCTGTGCAAAACAATAGAATATTAGTTCAAGTTGCTAGTGTGTTTTGAACAGAAAAAAACTTTCTCTTTTTTCCTATCCTTGCTTTCCTTCACCTTAAATAATGTTGGAAAATATTGGGGCAAGCGTAGAATTTTTCAGGTTTAGCTAAATTACTGCTATATTTTACCAATAAAATTCTTTGGTTTGTGGGGGTGGTGGGAGAGAAGAAGGAAAAAAGAAAAACAAGGAATTACTTTGTATCAAACTTGTGTAGGAAGCTAACCTTTTATTTCTTATCAAAATTTGCAAGCAAATATTTTTTATATTTTCAATATTTTTTTTAAAATGTACAAATTGGTAAACTTGCTATTGGTTCCTTAATTGCCTACTTATTTGCCATGCCCTTCTTCCACCCCCGGTCTAGCGGCTATTCATTTGATACTGAGATAAACACTCTGATCTGTAACACTATTTTGTCTGAGATAGTATAAAGCTAATTACTATGAATGCAGAATTGCGAATTATGCTCAAGTTGCAAATTGTAAATAGTTGTACCTATGAACTTAACGCTAGACGTTTCTTGCTTTGTTTTTAACTTTTATGTTCATCTAAATGAGGAGCTATTTTGGGAGTGGTTTTGTGCTCTTTGCCGCAGTTTTATTGAACACTCAGGACAAAGCAGTTTGAACAACAGCTGAAACAGAAAGATAAGTTAACATTTCAGGTGATCCTTCAACAGAAATAAGGTACTAGTGGCAATTGGTGATGAATTTATGAGGCATTTTTTGTCCTGTCCAATTATTCCGCCTAATGATTGTATTAAAACACCCAAAACTAATTTGAAATAGAACTTTTGCAGGTGTAGAGGAGACTTACTTTGGATAGATTGGAACTGGGGTATTAGAGGCAGCAATCATTTTACTCTCCTGTTCATTGTATTTGTTCTTTCATATAAAAAAGGTACATGAAAAGGGTATGAGATAATTTTTACTTTTCACTTTGCTGATAAACCAAGAATTTGATCCTTACCATCACATGTTAACTCCAAAAATATGTAGTTTGCCTCTTTTACAAACACTGAAATTAGGTGCTGAAGATTGGTAAAATCTATGCAAATCATCTATTTTTCAGTTTCAGGTAATTAATGCAAACTTAATTCTGTGGTATTGTTACTTGATGTTTGTCCTTCTCACCAGTTGTTGTAGACATGCAAACCATAGAAATCACAATATCCACCATAGAATGTTTAAATATTAAGCATGTGTCTTCTTTAAACTGCAGAGATGTTTATTTTTGTAATTTTGTACAAAATAAACAAGGGGATAGGTTGTCTGATTTCTATGTTCTGCATGGTATGGCGCTTGTGAAAATATACCAAGTATGTATACCATTAATTATAAACAATTAAGTTTGTATTAATAAAATACCTGTATAAACTGTTCTTTGTCGTTGTGCCTGAGTTGGTAAAGCCACTGGGTATTGTGTAATGGAACTATACAGGTCTCAGTTTTTATTTCAGTCTACTGAGTTGGCTGATCTCAGCTGGGACAGCAGTAGAGTTTTACAATTTGTCTCAAATGATTCAGGCTGGGGAAGCGAAATCGTTCAAGATGTCTGTCTGATCACTATCCATTTATCATTGTTGGATAGGACAAGTTTGATTCAGGTAAATAGTTTTGAATCCATCTTGTCCCTCTAAAATCATTTTGGTTATTGTAGTGGCATCCATTTAGTTTTCCTTCCCTCCGCCCCATTCATTTAAAGGCACTTCTCAGACTGACATATTGTTGCTTATCCCATCGCACCAATATGGTCACTCTTCACTATTGTGTCATGTGGTTTTGAGGTCTTCGTACTCTTGTTTTCCAGCTTGGAAAGATCATTAATCTTCAAGCAAGATGTCTTCTGATTTTAATCAATGTTCAAAATCTAACAGGGTCTTCACAGTGGCTGATGTCACTTCAGGTTCTTGCAATTGTGTTTGAAACGCAATCTGGCGTTGTGTGTCATACACTTGGACCTCTCCCGTACCAAGCGGGGCTGCCTACAACAATCCTTCAAGAAGGATCCATTGCAGGAGTGAGGTTTGGAACCAGGTAAGTTGGGGGTGTAAGCACTGACCAACCATTGCAAACCTGGGCACTGGTGATAAAGCATGGTTCCTCCTCTTTTCATCACTCCTGCACTGGTTCAACTTCCTTTGCACTGGCCCGTTTGAGGAGTCATTACAGTGCAGGATCATTCCAAGCTTGTTCACTTTCCCCAAGCATGAATATTGGATTGATTATACAGCACTTTATCAGTTCTCAATTCTTACTTGCAGTATCACTGGTAAAATCAGCTGAATTGCTTTTAAATATTTTAGGAAGGCAAGTAAATGCTCCGGTGGTGGGAGATAATCTTCCTTTGTAAACTCGCTCACACTCAATGTAAGACGTTAATATTGCTATAGGAAAAAATGCTTCTGTCATGTTTTACCAAAGTTTTCTCGTGCTAAAGTAGGTTCAAGGAGCCTAATCCTGTCCAAGCGTCATTTTCACAGGGTAAATCAGGCAACACTTTGGAAGTGTTGGAAGATATGGTTGAAGCAAAGAGCATCAACAAGTAGGAGGAAACTTGATGCATACATTAGGGAGAAGGAAATGGAGGGGAATAGAAGAGGTGGAGTCTCATGATCTAGTTGGACTGAATTGCCTGCTTTCATGCTGTATCATTCTATGGAACGTGTTGGAGACAAGAAAGACAATGTTTCCCTCTGCTTCTGTGATTGATACTTGGTTGAGTAATAAGGACTTTCTCACTTTGTCCGGAGAGAGAATAAAGTTGGCATTCTGTGGAGAACCCGCCTTCACTGCCTGGTGGTGTTGGCCTAGTTCTTTGAAGATTGCCGAAAGGATTGGCTAACTAATTGGCTTCAGAAATATTTGTTTGTATTTGGGTAGTTCTACCACAAGAAATAAGTGAGGGATTTAATTCAGCAGAGAAACTTCCAGCCTCACCTCTGACCTGAGAATGTTCTCGAATGCGTTTATGTGGCTAAAGAGTTTGCATATCCATTTTCATTGTCTCATTAGAGCTTCCTCTCGAGACTAAAGATAGCTCTTGCAACTTCCTTGAAGTTTCAAGAGTGTTAGGCTTTCTCATCAACTTGAAGATATTTCAATTTGAGCAATGTAGACAACCAGCTGAAGCATCCTTAGGGACTAGGCATGCATAATGGCTCCTCTCGAAATTTCTGGGAGATTGTGTGGAAGTGAATTTTATATTCATGTGTAAGATATCTATACAGGGGAATAGAGTCTGCCTCTCCCTTTGATGTGGGATTCAGTGTTGCCATTACACACTCCCAGACAAACATTTGCAGCTGGATGCAGAACAGAGCTGTCTTGAGTTGCAATGTGAATTTTCCAATTTCCTGCAACCATCCATCGGTTTGGTTGGTGTGCTCTTTCAGAAGGGACAAAGTTCATAGGTAGAACATTTTTCTACATCTCATGCTGGGGCCATATTTTCATTGCCATGTGCAAGGCTATTTAAAACCACCAATCTTTGCTTTGGCTTTAGGCACAGAACCAAACATTGTTCTGCTAGACTCCATTATAATATCCAACATGGGAACAAGTTTAATGACTTGACCTTGTATAGGATGCATTTACTGGACTCCTATTGCCTCAAATTAGACATAAGCTTCAAATCTTTTGGTACCCTGGATGGTTCTGGTCCACAATCAATCTGTGTACCTACAGACAGTCATTGTTACTGCTCTATATTATATATAAACATAAAGAGAGTTAAAACAATCATCTCCTTGATCTTTACTTTTGCTGCTGGTGCCAAACAGTTGGTCATCCTCTTGGCCAAGTAAATAGCTGTTGATAAGAGAATGTTTCAGTTTTTCTTAAGACTTGGGGATTGTTAAGGATCGGTACTATTTGCACCATTGAACCAAACAACTTTGAACCATCAACCTTCAGATGAGATGTTAAACTGTTCTGTTGGACGTTAAGATCACGAACTTCTCCTGATGTTAACAATCCCTTAGGTAGAATTAATATTTCACTTCATGGCTGTTTATGGGATATAGCTGTGTGTTAATTGGTTGGCATATGTTTGCTTACAAAATACAGCCACTACACTTACCAGTAAATCCAGTGAAGCATTTTGAGATATCCTCCTGGTGGGAAATACACTATATCAAAAGAAAGTATTATTTTAAAGAAACTCCCAAGTTCTATACTGTTTGCACCCTTGAACAAAAAGCCCTCCCAAGTTCTATACCAGGAACAGTTGCAGGATAACATGGATATGCAACAGTCTGTTGTGATCTTAAAGATGGAGCATGCAGTGCTAATCTTTAGCTATAACTGGCCTCAAACCTATCTTCTTGATATTGTCATTCAACAATAGTAAACTGATATTACTTTTTCACAGAACAGGCTATCATTTCAATTTTTTGAGTTTTTCGTATCTAGTTACAATACTTTTTGAATTAATGAAAGTGGGAGTAAGAGCTTCTTACCTACAAGTGGATAATTTTCAAAAATTATGCTGAGCTGTGAAAAAAGTATTCATCTAGTGTGTATGCAAATTCCTTGCTTCTTATGTTGTGGAACCATTTTAACTTTGGATTGTCTTAACTGTTGATTAGATTTTTATACATTCTTAAGAAGTTTGCTTGGGGCACACCCCTACTAGCATATTTTATGAAATTATTTTAGGAATCAATATCTACCAGTTTTTGTCCACTCTCCCACTAAGTCACAACAACTTGTATTTATATAGCACCCTTCACAGTGGCAACATCTCTGAGCACTTCATGGAGTGGCAGAGCTTGACGCCAAACTGGGGAGCGAGGGGAGGTGACCATAAGCACGATCAAAGAGGAAAGTCTTCAGATGCAATCTGAAGATGGGCAAGGAGGGAGCAAGGCGGAGGGAGTGAGGCAGAGAGTTCTAGAGTTCTGGGCCATAATAGCTGAAAGCACGGCTGCTGATGGTGGAGCAGAGGGGGTGAGCTTTGAATAAGCTTGGTTAAGCTTTGAATTTGGTGCTTATATAGCAAAATGCAACCTTTTTTTTGAGCTGATATTAATTAGAAGAAGGATTGCTTGGTTTTAGTTCAGCAAATTGCTGCAGTGAATTCAATCAGCAATACTTTAATATGACAACAAGGGATTCATATCCTATTTGCTTAACTAAGTTTATTTTAGCAGCCAGAAATATCCATATTATGTATGATCATGTGAATCATAATTACAGTGCTAATTCCATTGTGCAGATTTGATTTATACAGATATGCCTTTGAACTTTCTTATTATCTTGACAATATTAGATTGGTTCATAAACCAGAAAGTTTGGTTCATACAGAGTATTATACTAACATGGTATTCCATACTAAGGGTTTAAATTATGAACTTGAAGTCATCCAGATTCTGCAAATTCTAAACCATTATAGTGTTGGATCATCCATGAAGCAATCAGATTCATCAATGATTATTTATAGAATAACAGTTTTTGTAGAGAGTTGACTTTCTTTCTTGGACTCCTGTGGTACACGGAACAATTGGTGAAATCTGAATGATGAAGAAAATGTTTATTGAAAGATACCAATAAGTTCAATAAACCATCTTTGATTCCTGTAACTAAAGATCTTTTTGTCATTTACTTTTTTAGTTCTTCAATCTAAGCTAATTGAAAAGTTGCCTTATGTTCTCCATTTAAATATAAAATTGGACATAACCTCTGCTAGCTTGTCAGGACTTGCACAGACGTTTTCACTTTCCTGGCTTCATTAGCCCCATGTACAGCTTGTATCCTCTCTGAACCTGCTTAATTTAGAGTTTATATTTTCCCTTAACAATTGCAGTGTTTGAGTTTTAGCTTGTTACTTCAGAAAATGATTAAATCCACTACTAATTTTCCTTGTATCTCCGAAAAAAACTTCAAAAATGAAGATTCATTGCCAATCAATGGAATATTTTTTGATTTACAATAATGATGACTTTTTAAAAAGTCATTATAACATGTTATCCCGTTGGGTATTTCTGTATTATCAGGTTTTTATTTTAGCAGTCATGATATAGCAATGTAAAACTCAGACAAATCAAAGTGGCTAATTAAAGCAAAACAATATTAATCCTTGCATTTGATATAGCACCTCAAACCGCTTCACAAGATATACTATAAAAAGAATTTATAATAATAATAGTAATAATAATAATCCTTGCATTTGATATGGCGCTTTGCACGTCGGGAGGACGTCCCAAAGCGCTTTACAGAACACACTGTAAAGTAAATTGACTGTATATTTGTGGGCGAACGCGGCAGCCAATTGCGCACAGCAATGTCCCACAAACAGTCGTAGATTGAAAATGACCAATTTATTATGGTTTTTTGGTTTTGGAGGGATTATTATTAGGCTCTGTGTGGAGTAAGGAAACTTGCCCAAGGTTTCGCCCTGCCTGGAATTGAACTCAGGTCTCTCGCTTGCAAAGCGAGTGCTCTAACCACTGAGCTACAGGACTCCATACTGTATTGTATGGGCAAAAGAAAACAACTAAATGGGTCCTGCTATTTTTCTGACTTGTGTTCCTAATATTTCTGAAAGAATATTAAACCCCAAACAGTTTAGCAGCATGTTGAACAGTACTACTTTACCACAGAGTAGTTGGGGGCAGCTTCAAACTCCTCAAAATTCACAAATGGCATGATTCAACAAGAGTGCCCCTTGGCTCTTTTCAGATGCTTCCACAGTGGCTTATCATAAGTTTTTGTATATTTACCTGTTCTCTGGTATGTGGCGAGCAAATGTGTTGTGAACGGTTCAAAGGTGGGTGATTTTAAAAATTCAAAACACCCTTTAAGTGTTAATAATGCTCAGTGCAAATTCTAAATTTGATCAGCAATTATTATGTGCTTATACTATTAGTCAAGAATGAAATCTCCCTCAAGCTATACATAATGAAAATAGGGTTTGAGTAAATAACTTTCATGACTTTTTTTTCCATCTAGCAAGTACTACCTTTGATGGTGATAAAGAATCTGAGGATGAAGAAGATTGTGCTCCACCTGAAGACTTGAAAAAGGTATGATATTTATCTTATGCAATATGGTATTAAAGGTTCCAAAATTAACAGTCCAAATTAGAACATTTAATACATCTACTTAATCAAACACAAAATATTCTGACTATATGATGTGGCAATAATTTGTGTGGTAACTATTAAATTGTCAAAATCCCTCAAAACTACTGTCATCATTTCCCTTCTCAAAAAGAAACACCACTGACCCCTCCAAACTCTAGCTGTTGCCTCATCTCCAGCTTGTTCTTCCTCTCCAAGATACCGGAATCTGTTGCCTCAATTACACTTCTACCTCTTCCACTATTTCCTGTATGACTCTCCCTCCAATATGGTTTCTATCTCGTTCATAGCACTGAGACTGCTCTGATAAATGTCCCCAATGACATCCTCTTAGTTTGCGACCAGCATTCTTTGTGCCTGACCTCTCCACAGCCTATGATTACTGTCGAGCATAGCATTTTACCTGCTTCATCCTGGAACATTGGCCTTTACTGGTTTCATTCTTAAATGTCCCAACATGATCACTATATGTCTCCTCTACTTGGTTCTTTTCCTGCTACTGCATGGTCATTTGCGGTGTTTCCCAGGGATCTATTCTCAGTTCCTCTTTACCTTCTTTTCAGTGATCTGCCCCCCTCTTTGTGATACATGCAAGCATGTGGTCCAGTTCAATATTTATGCGGATAACATCCAACAATACCTTCACCCTTGTTTCCAGAACGACTGCTGTCATAACAGACTGCCTGTCAGATAACAGGGCTGATCGGACATCAAGATCAGCCATAACTTCTCCAACTGAATGTTGACAAAACTGAAGCTTCCATTCAGCATTTCATCTTGGACTCTGATTGCATGAACTTTCTACCTTCTCATTGTACCTCATGGAACCAGTGTGCAACCTTGGGATTTTGTTGACCCGCCATCCTCCTTTCATCCAGTCCCTGACAAAGTCTGCTTATCTGAAACTTTAAAATATTGCCTACCTCATTCTCAATGCAGCCAACACTATCACTCACACCTTTGTCACCTGCAAACTTTTTATGTAATGTTCTCCTTGCTGGCCTTCAAGCTCAATCCTTCAGTTCCAGACTATCCAGAAACCGACAGCCTGTAGCTTTTCCCGCACTATGCTCTGAGACCCCATCACGTTGTTTGAGTCTTCAGTGGCTTCCTATTCTTCAGCAGATTGATTCCAAGATCTGTGTTCTTTCTACCCCGCCTCCCCCCCCCCCCCGCATCCTACCGTCCCACATTTATGATCTTCTTCCTCTGCTTTCAAACCCTTCTTTAAGCAAATCTACCTCTGACTGTTGCTTTGGTCACCCACCCTCCCTCCCACATCTTCCACTTTGCTCAGCTTCCCAATCCATCTTTGTGAATCACTTTTGAGATGTTTTCCTATGTGAAAGACGTGCAAGCTGCCATTGTATTAAGGATACACTTTGTAGTCCTCTAGTTGTTGGATATTGGAATTTACCTACATGAACACAGTGCATGATTTAAAAAAGGTTATTTTTGCTGGGAAAATGTCATGGAATGGTACAATCAACTACTTTTAAATGCACTGATTTGTTCAGTCACTTCGTAGTATCTTCACACTTATCTTGACTTAATTTCGGTGATCAACTTATCAATCACAAATGTTTATAAATAGTTCAGATGTTTGTCACCATGATTATTAATGGGCCACATATTAATTAATGTGCCTCAACTAAAATGGGGATCGTTTGAATACTGAAAGGCAAGTGGGAATGACAGGTGAGCTGGGTGTGGTGCCCCCAGAGTTGAATAGCCTTTCAGGACTCCCTGTAAAGAATCGAATGAGGAAAAAATGCCACTTAGGCATGGTCCTTGGGGATATCTAGTTAATGCATCTATAGTAGTAATCCTTGCATTTGATATAGCGCTTTATCACATCTTTGAGACATCTCAAAGCGCCTCACAGAATATACTGTAAACTGTATATTTTGTGGGTGAAACGCAGCAGCCAATTGTGCACAGCAATGTTACACAAACAGTCATGGATTGAGTGACCAAATTATTATTAATGGTATCAAATGAAAAGTCCCATGTACTATACACCAAGGCAATGGGGAATCGGGCGAAGAGTAAGGGGAAAAGTCCCATTATGCACAAATGCAAGGTAATAGAAGTAAAAGGATGTAATAAAAGTTACTAATTGAGATATTGATGTAGACTTCAGAATATTAATTGACATTGCTCACTCATTCAAACAGTGTGAGGAAACGATAAACAGTGTAATTAGAATTCCAGACTACATTGTCAATTGGACAAATTCAGATTCCCAGTCCTCGAATGGTATTGTGCTGTGGTCAGTCATCACTTAGAGTACTGTGCACACTACCATTTGCCCCAATGTTAGAGATTCTTTCAGGACCTAGAGACAGGTCAAAGGAGAGCAACAAGACTGATACTGGAATGAGCTACAGAAATGAAAAGATCAACAAAAGTTATTTCGTCTTGAGAAGATGTTTTTTGTTGTGTGTTTTATAAAACTGTATTGTCACCTATGTGACTGTTGTGAATATAGATTTTTTTTTGTTTTGTTTAGGAAATAATGGTGGGGTCTCAGTATCAAGCTCAAATTCCGTCCAGTCTCTGCAAATACAAAGATAATGAAAAGGGTAAGGCATGTGCTTAATTGTTTTAAAATTCTGTGCCTATGAGGCAAAGAAGGACTATTTAGTTAAATACTTGTAGGTCTTCACTGACTCTTATTGATAGTTTTTTGTAATGGCTGTCTATTTCACATTATCTTAGAATCTTGGGTACACTGATATTCAGGTTGCATTGGGATAATGTCAACCTCTTTTGGTATGCCTTCTTGCACCAAATAATTATTAAGAGACTAGCAGAGATTCCCAGTCACTTTGCTGTAAATTTCTAGGGTTTTAAATTGGGCAAATACCTGTGTTAATCCAAAACAATTTTGTATTGCATATATTATGTATCAATTGGAAATAATAACTTGGAAACAATAAAATGGAAGAAGAAAACAATAACCTTTTCTTTTTTTTTTACATAGTCTATGAAAATGAGGACCAGTTACTTTGGACTCCTTATTTCCTTTCTGAAAGTACAGTGAAAGAATTCCTGCATGAAGCAGCAGAGAAATCTGGAGATGAGAAAGGTGTGGGTGGTATACCTGAAGGGGTGCATGTGAGAGATAATGAACAGGTGAGTAGTTAATGTAGAATATAATAATGAGATGTTAGTAGAGAATGGCAACAAGCAATCAAGTGCATAGGATTTTGTTATGGACCATCTAGAAGCATATTTAAAAAAAGGACTTGCATTTTTATAGCACTTTATCACATTAAAATGTGTCAAAAGTGATTCACAAATAATTATTGTTAAATGTGGTGATTATTGTTGTTGGCAAACAGAGCGAATATGTTTACTGGCAAGATTCTACAAAAAGCCACGAGTGAATGCCGAATTAATCAAGATGGTTGTTGGCAGGAAACAGTGAGAAACTCTTCCTTTTTCGAATAGTTTCGTGGGATCTTTAATGTCCATCTGAAAACAGGCAGAAAAGAGGTAGTTTTAACATTTTTGTCTAAAGGACAGCACAATCCAATACTGTATTGGATTCAAATTGTAACTACCATGCCCTATGGCAGGACTTGGAATCCATATAGTTTATGCTGATACTTCAATGCCGTGCTGGGATATGTTGGGTTGTCATAGGTGCTGTCCTTCAGATGAAACACTTAACCAATGTCCTGTCTGGCAATAAATGTGGACCTTCAGGATCCAATAGCACTATTCAAAAAGAGAAGAGTTTATCTTGTTCTGCAATTCCCCCAAATAAAATTAATTACTCACTTCATGGCTGTTTGTGGAATATTACGTGCACAAATTGATTGCAAAGTTTGCCCACAAAATACACACAGTCACACCACTTCACAGTATACCCTCAGACTCATTGAACCGGTGCAGAGTCTAGGCGTCAGGTTCGATCCCCAGCTTTTCTCCGCCCACATCCGTTCCCTGACCAGGACTGCTTTTTTCCACCTCCCGCTACATTGCCCACCTCCATCCGTAGCTTCCACCCACAGCAGCCTAAACCCTCATTCAAGCCTTTGTCACTACCCAGCTGGACTTTTCAAATGCCCTCCTTGTTGGACTCCTCAATTCCACCGTGCATAAAAAACAATTAATTCAGAACTCCTCTGCCCAGATATTAACCAGCACAAAACTCTAGTCCTCCATCCCACCAGTCCTTGCTGGGTTGCACTGGCTCCCAATTTCTGAATGGATCGACTTCAAGATCCTCTCTCATTTTCAAATCCCTTCATACCCCTCACGCCTCACTACCTTTCCAACTTGCTCACCCCCCACTCCACCATCTGCTATCTCCTCTCGGCCGGCTCCGGTCTCCTGTTCATCCCTCCACCATTGGCGCCCATGCTTTCGGTCACTACACACCAAAGCTCTGGAACTCGCCTCCAATTCCTCCACCTTGCCTGCTCCCTCCCCACTTTCAAATCCTGCCTAAAGACCTTCCATTTTGATCGTGCTTGGGGTCACTTCCGTCTCCCCTTGGCTTGGGGTCAGACTATGCCACTGTTAAGCACTTTGGGATGCTACCTTGCATGAAGGGGGCTCTATATAAATACAAATTGTTGTTGAAGTTCTTTGTGATATCGTGAGAACGTGATTACAACAACAACTTCCACTTCTATAGGGCTCTCCACGCAGGATAATGTCTCAGAGTGCTTAACAGTGGCGGAGCCTGACTCTGAGCCGGGGGGAGAGGAGATGTAGCCGTAAACATGGTTGAACAGGAAAGTCTTCAGGCGGGACTTGAGAGGGGCAAGGCGGGGGGATTGAGGGAGAGTGTTCCAGAGTGTTGGGGCATAGTGGCTGAAAGTACGACCTCCGATGGTGAGGCAGAGGGTGCAAAGGATGAGCAGGAGGCCGGGGCCAGACGAGCAGAGGCACCGAATTGTGGATTGGTCGGGAGTGAATGGATTAGGCACTACATCAAATGCAAATATTATTATATTATGATTTTGCTCATTTAGCACTGATATTGTATACTTTCTGTATTATTCAGGCACTATATGAACTCGTAAAATGTAACTACATTGTTAAAGAAGCACTCAGAAGTTACCACTTAAATGTGAAGGCTGCACGGGGTAAGATTTTTACTAAATCTATCTTAAAATATTTGAATAAATATTTGAATAAAAATTCAAAAATTGAACTACAGTTCAATTTCCATTCTTCTATTATAATCCATTTTCTATAATCTGTAGATGATCAGTCTGCTTGGACAGAAGAGGAATGCAGAAACTTTGAACTTGGCCTTCGACTCTATGGTAAAGATTTTCACCTTATACAAGCAAATAAGGTGAGATATAAATTCAAGCTGATGATACTTCTGTACATTTTAAATTCTTCAGAATGTTCATTATGTTTGTCTTGTTTGCTGTACCACCTGTGTTGATTTAATGCTCGTCATTCAAGTGAACACAAATTGCCGTACATATTTGGGTTTAATGGCATTGTTTTTTTATTTTGATACTCGGTTCCCAACCTCTTAAGAAAATGATTTCAGGAATCAAATTGATTCATTACTTCAGGGATTTGCAATGCAGTTGAATTGAAAACATACTAAAGTTTAAATTTGAATCTTTTTATATTACAGAACCAGTTGTATGACTCAAAAACAAAATCTAAATGCTGTTCGACTCAATTTAGAAAACAAAACCTTTGTTGTGAGCAAGAAGCGCAAACTTGTTCGGCTCCTTTTTCATGTATTACTGCAAATAAGCAGGATTGCTATAAGCTATAATGGGGTGGAGGAAAGTGTTCTCCCAAATTATCAGATAATTGGTGTTGATTTTAATAATATATTTAATACGTGAAAAGTTCCTATAGATTTTATGACAAGTGTACGAAGTAGATAACGTGATCAGAATGTGGTCCTAATTCGGTGAAGCCGTGGTTTGGCAGAAACTATACTGCTGAAATAGATTCAATATAGAAGCCTGTGAATCTTTTGTCCTATTGAATTTTCATTGTTCAGAATTACTCTCTTTAGTAAACGTTCACTGGATAAATGGTGGAAATGGTTGGTGGTAGGTGGGTGGAGGGGAAGAGAAGAGAGGTAAATCTTTGCCTACAGTACATTTAATGTAAAAAGCATCAAATGCGTTGTTAAATTGACCACAATGTGAACTAAAGAACCAGCCTCGAAGCTTTGAAGACCTCACAAATGTTGTTTAAAGATGATGTCTGTGTTTAGTGCATAGAATGCCATTCTAAATTTTTTTTAAATCTGCACCCCAGTACAGAAAATTATGGTTTCAGAAATCATCTTCTCTTCCACTGAGAACCGTTTCAGATGGGGCTTACATAAAATATCATCCTCTGTTTTTAGTGAGTTTTTCTTTAAGCTCCATATGAGCCCATAACCCACACCAAGTTGATTTGATTGGGTCTGGAGGCATATAATAGCAGCTTCCATAGAAGGGAATGCGACTTTCTAAATGTTTGCATTTGATCAAAGATGTTTTTTCAAAATATAAATATAGCTGACGACATACATTGCTCTTATCCTTTTAATTTTTTTGTTTCTAGGTCCAAACTCGCTCTGTAGGGGAATGTGTAGCTTTCTATTATATGTGGAAGAAATCTGAACGATATGACTACTTTGCCCAACAAACCAGATTTGGAAAGAAGAAATACAATCTTCATCCTGGAGTTACGTAAGTTGATAATTGACTCCATTCAGGGAAAATATTGATTGAAATGGTAAAACTAAACTGTATCATACCACAGGGAGATCTAAACCATATCAAACAGATGGAGCATTTTATTTCCAGTGAATGGAACAAGTGGTTCCACTGGGAAAACAATCAGTCTTTTTCTTGTATTGAAACACTCAGGTAAGATTACTTGAGTGACAATATTGATCCTTTGAACTGAACTAATATTGTCTCCTGAAGTTTCGCACATGTATCTTTGATATGCCTTTATAACATATATATGCCAACACTCTGCTTGCCAGATTCACCAACTCTCCACTGTACAAGTTGCAGACTATCCATGTCCTCTCCTGTACCAGGCCTTGTGAGCCTATCCTGCCCCCCCACCCCCATCCTTACTCGACTCAACTGGCTCCCCATCTCCCAATGGATTGAATTAAATTACTCCATGGTCTCGCCTCACCCTACCTAAAGAACTTCCTCACCCTTGCCAACCAGACCATACCTTCGCTCAGCCAACACAGGCCAATTCATGTCCCCAGCTCTATCTGCCCCATTGTCAATGGGCAGGCTTTCTGCTACTTGATGTCTGTTCTCTGGAACTCTATTCCTTGGTCCCTCCAATTTGCTCCTTCCTTCCCTCTTTCAGGGTATGCTTCAAAAGGTATCTCTGACAGTGCTTTCGGACATATTTCCCTTCCTCATTCCGGTCTGCTCTGGTGCTGGGCCAGAATTGTTAACCAATTTGGGATGTTCCTCCCACCATGAAAGATGCTCCATAAGTGTAAATTGTATCATATCTTGCATTTCCTCTTGTGGGTAGATTTCCTGAAACACATTAGAAAGATGTAATAAGCGAAAATGCTTTCTTGGATTGGCGTTCTGTTTAAATGCATTTTGCCAAATAGAAGAGTATCTTGTGAGTCTGGTATAAAAATCAAAACGTATGTGAATGAGATGTTATAGAATGTCATTTATGTTAATTTTGTTGCACAATGAATTAATTTGGTATTTTGTGTTTTTAGGGATTATATGGATCGCCTAGTGGATGAAGCTGAAATGGGAATGTTGAATAGAGTAGCAAATTCTCCATCCATGTATCTTCCTACCAATAGATCAGAAATAATTTCTGACCAACAGCACAATCTTATGAGCTCTGTGATTGGAAGTGAGTTTTCTGGTAAGAAGTCGCTACTGACAGATGTCCATTGATAGCTGTTACAATTTTTTTTATCAGGTCTAAATATGTAACCTGTAGAAACAACCACAATATCGCATTTACATATCTATAGTGCCCTTCACATCAGGAGGATGTTCCAAGACACTGGAATGTCCGGGCTTTGCATCTGAGGTGGGGTGGGTAGGAGTTCTGGATAGTCTGGTGAGTAAAGTTGGTGTAGTCAAGCCTGGACATGATGATTGCATGGATTAGGTTCTCAGGGTCCTGAACGGAGATGCAGTGGTGGAAGGGGGCAATGTTACAGAGGTGGAGGAAAGCTGAGTGAGTCAGATCACCAAAAAAACTTTACTAATGGTCAGCATAGTTGAGGTGAAAGTAAACCAAAATGTCTCTTGTGAAAATGATCTTAAGATTAATGCTACTGACAACTGTATGTGATCCATTTATATAATAAATGGTTCTTAGGACAACAGGATGGCTTGTATTAGCTTTTTAAACTGTACAACACAATTAGGGAAAAGATACTTATAACCTCAAGTTTAATGGAAATTTTCATATGTTCAGAAAGCTGCTCTGCATCTGTTAATTTATTCATCAAAATGTTTAACAGATCTGTGAACTGAGACTAATATTTAATTACATAATTAGGACAAGCTCTTATGTAATTAAGCAGGCTGTTGCTGTGAAGCAGCACCAATTATACTAATGTATCAACAAAGTGCTCTGGTACATATAGTACTGTTGAATCATGTGGGCATTTTTTCCAGCTTAACATATCAGAAGGTCCCTAGTGTTTCTTGTACAGATTCTACAAATAAAATACTTCTAAATAGACGTGGACCAATTCACCCTGAGTAGTGTAATTACTGCTTGGTATATATGAGATGAGACGTGGCACCCTAAGTATTTGGAATTTATCTGATTCCCAGCAAACTTCAACTGTTATCTTATATACATAATTGATACTAAATTTGCACAACTGACTACCTTATTTTGTCGACAAAATATACAGTCAATCCATTTTACAGAATATCCCGTGAAGCACTTTTGAGAGGTCTTGATGATGCGCTATATCAAGTGCAGGGATTATTATTAAATTTGCAGAATGCAGCAAATAATTGACCATTTTGGCATTGCGAAGCAGTGCTGGACTTTGAGAAGTTGTTTTGAATTATCTGTTTGATTCCAAATTAATCTTAAAAATGTTACAGAACATCTCAAAATTTTAAATCTTAATATTTTTCTTTTCCAGCATTGACCAGTGTTGGTACAGCATGCAACGTTACAGATGTAAGCTGCTTGGATTCATATAATTTTCCTCCATTGGACAGTTTGCACACAAAAGGACCAACTACACATGTGCCTGTTTTAATAGAAGAGTCACTTGGTTTGCCTACAAATGGTGATACAGACTGTCTAAATTTGTTTGAGACTGGATTCTACCATTCCGAATTAAACCAGATCAGCATGTGCAATGAAGACTCAGAAAGACCTGCAAAGCGATTGAAAATGGGGATCTCGGTTCCAGAATCTTTTATCAATGACGTTTCTGTAAATAACCTGGGTGTGGATTTTGAGAACCACACGCATCATATCACTAGTGCCAAAATGTCCGTATCAGTTGCGGATTTTAGCAACTTATCTGGTAGTGAAGCAAATGGCTTCATTAGTTCCCACACACTACATCAGCACACAGCTCTCCAATCAGAGTGACTCCTGCATTGAAACTTCTCACAAAATAGTGGTTATGCAGTAACAATGAACTTGGTGGGGAGCCATCGAGTTTAGGTCATTCACTGGAAGTTTGAATTTTTTTACTATGACGTCAGTGATGTCTTTTTCTTATAGAACCTAATCTTGATTTCTCAAGAGTTTAAATAGCCATTTATTTTCAGTCCCTGATAACATAGAAATTTCAGAGATTATGTTCGTACAGCAGAGTTTGGGACTTCATTTGAACCTTCATGGTGCAGTCTTGAACACTCAAGCCTTTGCACCACCTTTGTAGCCAGTAGACAAAGGAGTCATTTCACCTTCTGATACCAACAGTGGGGAACAATGGAAACAATGAAAATGGCTGCCTCAGCTCTACTATCTCAGTAGTTGGTACAGAGGAATATTAATGTTTACAGGTACCTAGCCTTGTCCCTGGCTAATGTAGCATTTCAGAAATGAACTGCAGCACTTCAACAAACAACAAGAAATTGCATTTATACAACGCCTTTCACTTTGGGAGGACGTCAGTGCAAAGACCTGCATAAACAACGCCTTCTCTCATCCATTGAATTGACACAAAGCAGAGCACTTCAGTTTACAGAGCCGTGAGTGCATCTTTTGGAAGAAAATCGATGGATGGAATAAAAGAGGGAAACCTGCAGGCATGCATGTGTCTAGCAAGAATTGGGTATGGCTGCCATCTGTGAACGGGTTGGAACTACTGCCAGATTTCTGTGTACTTTAAAAAGAAAACTCTTCAAGCTTTTATTGATTGGATTAAATATTGAATTTTGTGATATTGTATATTGATGTTTATTTTTTTTTAAAAGACTTTAAAGATTGTATTATAGTGTATCTCAAACTACACAATGCATTGTATATCTTATGAGATTTCCTGGGGCAGCTGAAATAGTCTTGACACAACTTAGGACTTGCCACTTAAGACACAATTCTGTTTGACAGTCTATCCAAGCCTCTTGCAGCAGTTCATCGTGTTTTGTATTGAATGCTGTGTCTATATCCTAGCAAATATAATACAGTAGAACCTTGACAAACAAGATTTAATTTAACACCTTTCTAATGCATTCCATTTTTTAAAAATTGGTCACAGTGTCAGTTTAAAGATTTTGGAATAAATAATTAAATTGAGGATTAAATATTGAGCTTTAGATTACTGACTTTCTTACCTTGTATACCTATCACCTTTTTTTAAAAGGCAGCCTTTTTGAAAATCAAATAGTATTTGCAAGTGATTGTTTTTAACAATAGCTGAAAATTATCCATTAGTAAGGTACCTTTAGGAATTGCTCATTTATCTGATGTTTATGGAAAATTTCTGAATATCCTAAAAATACATACATTTTATATGTTTATGGTGCAAGAAGTATTCTGGGTTTCACGCTCTAATTCTTCAAATATATCTGCATATTTTTTCTTCCATTAACATAGATAATTAAAATTGTTTTCAGTGCATTAAAATATGTATGAAGGTGGTACAAAATACCAAAACCAATCGAGAAAGCTGCCTTTTCCTTTGTAATAATTTTGAGAAGGTTTTACTGTATTATGTTTGAGAATAATTTGCTGATAGTGTAAGTTACTTGAAGTGTGAAGAGGGTGGTATAGGCAACATAATGAACTGCTTTGGTATACTGTTTTGTAAATTTTATATTTATTGTATTTGAAAAGAACATCTCTCACAATCACCTGAAAAGGTGAATCTCTACACCAGGTTTGGCCCTAGTGGAATTAAATGCAGCAAAGGTGGTTTGAGAAGCTGGTTTGATTTTCTGTATAGATGAGCATGACTGTACAGCCATAATGTGTGGTGGTCTTTCAGTTAATATACAGGAATCTTGTACGATAGACAAAGCTATGGGTTCTAAAACAGTAAATAAAGACATAAAGGTACATGATACAGAAGTAACGGGTAGCCTCGGCTCTTGCCAGTATTGCGTGGAATTGTAACCCAAGTCATTAGCTTCTTGTAGCTGTGTTTATGTGCTGATCTATGCATTTGTCTCTTTTTTTTCTTTTTGATGTTAACTGCTCCTAGAAATGTACTCGTGGAAATGCTATACATATCTGTTCATTAGTATATTTGAGCATAACTGGATTTGCAAAGGCTAGTCTGTACATTGGTTGCACTTTTTTGAGAAATTTTTGAAAACCATTCCTAGTGCATTACAAATACAGAATTTAACTATGCATTCAGACTTTGTGAGTTCCCTTGGCAAACAGAAGTGTAGTTTTATTATTACAGGGTTTAATTAAAATTTTCATAGAATGGATTTGCCTGTGATTTTAAAACGCAACAGATGGAGAAAGCAGCCACGGGGGGAAACGGTGTGTGTCTCCCACATATTAGAATTTTTGGTTATTTTTAGTATTGGTTACTTGCTATCAATTTGACATAATTTGTTATTTTTTCTGAATTGGGTTTGGCATACGGAGCCTGAAGCTCGGTGGCAAAAATGCTAAACCAAGATCATTGAGATGTGTATGATACCGATAACCAAAACTAATACCAAATGCTGATTGGAAACTGGTATTGTAGAATTTTGTAAATGTCCTTATTTTTTGTGTTCATATTAAACAGCGCAATAATTTGACAGAATGTAATTATGTAGAATTTCTGCATATAGTAGATTTTTTTCAGTTTTTGGAAGTGTCATGAAATGATGCTTGATTTTTTTTCTAAACCAGAATCTTACCATTTAAACCACTGGGATTTAGAATACCTTGCTGTTCAATGTCTAGCTTTGTTTAAAATGCTGGCCAAAGATGACTCTTGTTTTCCATTTCCATGTTGAGAAGTCAGTTCTATATACTAATTCATTCAGAAGTGTAACTGGTGCTGCAGTGGATATAGCAATACTTTACCCAAGATGAGACCATGCTTGCACATTAGCATAAATGATAGCATCCTAATGTAAACTGTTCCATTTACTTGAAGGTTGTATATGGCTAAAGAATATCGAAGTGCATACGATTAGGTCATTTAAAATTGTGCAATTTTTCCTTATTGGCTGGAGGTAAAGACCTGTATTGCAAAAAACCTCATTTGTCAAACTTAGTAATATTTATTTTTAACTAAAGTCTGTAGTTATGAATTTAAATTGCTCTTATTGAAAGCAAAATGGTGGCTAGTTGGCACTCTTTACTGTGGCAAGTTGTCCACAGAGGTTTGAACGGTTGAAGGGTCTGAACAGAAAAGGAAGTTTTGTACAATGTGAAAACTCAAAGCAACCTGGTACTGGTAATCAATACAGAGTAAATGTTTTACATAAAAGAATAAACCACTGACAAAACAGTTCTGATAAAATAGTACTACAGCTCCTCTTTACTGTATTGTTGCTGGATTAGTAATAGAACTGTCTGTGACTAAAATGGCCCAATTAGTGACAATCAAGACAGCATTTAGTTTTTGAAGATATTCATGGGGAAATCTCTAATGTTGCATTTGGTTTTAATATTTGTATATAAACACTGAAGGTTTTGTTCAGCATTATTTTGTACTTCTGTTGTACCTTGATATGTGGTGTACACCATTCCAGAAATAAAAGTCTGGAAATCTCACTTTTATTCTGATTAAGTGTAATTCAGTTGTTATTAATGAGACTTTCTATAAATCAAAGACCATTGGTGACATAGCAGTTACAATGAAATAAAAATTGTGAATCTATCTAGACCATTTGTTATAGGTCACAATTGCTATCTATTATGATGGTCACTGCTGTGGTTATACCAATTGAGTGGTCTTACAGAAGGAAAAGAGTTGCTGATTAGAATAAGAGAGCCTAGGACTCTTTCTTTCAACTGGGTGATTGACGTGCGGAAATTCATCCCCATGTTTAAGAGCGTCCAAACCAAACAGAATTCTACCTAAAACCGAAATTCCCATGTATTGAATGGAATGTGCACTTTCTCTGGATGGAGGGATCCTGCTTACTTAATTCCAGAGAGTATTAAACATTCAAGAACCAAGGGTTAGGCACCCCAAACTATTGGAATGAACCATCTAACACTGCATAACCTGCCTTTGAAAACACTGGCAAACCTTCCTGGTGGTCTTTTTGCAGGGATCACCCTACTTGATAGGACTTTGGCTTGCAGGGTTAGCGGGAGCTAAAGTGAGAAGAATTCCTTCCCCCAACAACTTGCATTTATATAGCGCCCTTCATTTGGGGTAGAGTCTCGGAGTGTTTAAAAGTGGCAGAGCTTCACACCAAGCCAGGGAGCAAAGGTAGGTGACCATAGTTATTCTTGAAGTAGAAGGTGACATCTGAAGACTGGCAAGGAAGAGGGATTGAAGCAGTGGTGGGGAGGGAGGGTGTAGAGTGGTTTGTGGGGAGCAGGGCAGCAATGGAGTTTACGGGAGAAAGGAGAGGAAAGTTGGAATTGGGGCAGGTTTGCTCTTTGGGTTGGGTTTGCTGTTCTGGGACAGCCATCGATCAGTGCAATGAAAAATCCAGCAGAGGATGGCCAGATTGGAATAGAGAGGAGGTAAATTGGACCAGGAGGGAGAAAGGGTGGGAAGGGAGGGGCAGATGTGGGTGGGATTAGTGGAGAAGGGAGTTGAAGCAGGGACATTTTTGGGGGTGGGGGAGTTTGGGTCAGGGGCTAAATTTTCCTGAACTCCTGTTACTGCTAAGCCAGGCGTTATTGTCATCGCACAGCTCACAATATTTTATATTCTAGAAATGGACAATCCCTAATTTAGCAAAAAAAGTACTTTTTCCTGTAAACTGCAACATTCCATATAGGTATGGGAGCAGTGAAATTCATTCAGATCTCTTAATTCCTCTACAAACCAAGTATGTCCAGGGTATCGATAGTAGAATCGAAAGGATAGTCCCAAAAGCATTGGAGCCGATTCTATACTATAACAACAACAAAATTACATTTGTATACCGCCTTTCACGTCGGGAGGACATCCCAAGGCGGGGTGAGCAAGCAGGGAGATCAAAAGCATGGTCGAAGAGGAGGGTCTTGAGGTGGGTCTTAATGGTGGCGAGGGAGTTTCCCTTAAAAATACTAGTTTCCCCATATGTTTAAAGCAAACAATTCCTGTTTCTGTGGAGACTTTTCTTTGTAATAAATCCTATTGGTTTTATTAACATATCGAGAGGGGTTGAAAGCAGATATATTCCTTAATTCATGCAGCACTTAGTCATCATTAAGAAACTAGGAGTTTTTTTAAAAAAAAATCAACTGCTGTTAAAAATATTAGAGATTGCGGTCATTAGGAACAGTTACCATTTCAAAATGAAAATCCCCAAGATACTGACTTTCAAATTCAGAATCCAAGCATCCTTTTCTGCTGTTTTAAGGTTAGTTTATATCGCATCCATCCAAGAGTAGATCTTAACATTCATGATAATATTCCTTGCATTTGGTATAGTGCCTTTCATGTCAGGAAGACATTCCAAAGTGCTTTACAGGATATAATGTATTGTAAAGTGGAGTTTCACAGGTGAATGCAGCAGCCAATTTGCACACAGCAATGTCCAATGAAAAGAATGACCAATTTTATTCAGGGGATTCTTGGCCCAGATCGGGAGAGGCTTCCTATCTCTTTTTGAATTCTGTCAATGGATGGCATCTCCAACAGAGCAGCAAAGCCTTGTGTCTGTTTAGATTACATGAGATCCAAGTCCCAGCGTGGAGCGAGTGTAATCACAAATGCGCACTGCTTTATCTCACCTAAAGGACAATGAAGATTGCAGAGGGAACACAGCTTAATCAACCCAAGTAATCATCTCCGTACCAGCCAAGAGTCCCAGAAAGCAAAATAACTGCCTGATCCAGTGCTCTATTTCTCTCCATGTATATGTTGGCTGGCACCCTGGATCTGATCCCATCTCTCTATCTTTCATTTTATTTTTCCTCATTTTTATTCCATTTTCTGTTTTGCAAGACATGTGCGGAGACTCTAATTGTGCGGAGTTAACTTGTTTTATATTCCCCTCCTCATCCAAGTTACTCCTGAATTTCAGATTAAGTGCCTCGTGACATTATGGACATGCCTGACACATGCTTATCCGCTGTGTTTGCCTATGTAATATTCATTTTATTTCCAAGCAATTGTATTTGTAAAGTCCTTTGAAATACTATATTTGTTTGCTTAAAAGTTACTATAGAAATACAAGTCAAGATTAATATTAAACATCAACTCTAGACAGCCACTGGGTGGCAGCAGTCTTCCCAATCATACGAGCCCGTCTTTGCATTTAATATAGCACCTTTCACATCAGGAAGAGTCTCAAAGTGTTTTAGAGAATTTACTGCAGTGACTGTATTTTTGTGAGCGAACCTATGGAGGTTTCTGTTTTGTCGTTTGATAACTTTTGATCTTTTACTCCTTTTTGAATTGAAAATGTCGCCCTTATCTATAGTTGTTCCTTTTAATTATAATATTCCTTGCATTTGATACAACACTTTTTGCATCTTCTAGATGTCTCAAAGTGCTTCAGAGAATATACTGTAAAGTGAATTGACTGTATTTTTGTGGGCAAAACGTGGAAGCCAAACGCACACAGCAGTGTCCCACAAACAGTCGTGGATTGAGTTGAGTGACCAAATTATTATTTTTTTCTTGAGGGATTTTTATCAGGCATGTGGAGTAAGGAAACTTGCCCAAGGTTTTGCCGTGCCGAGAATCGAACCCAGGTCTTTCGCTTGTGAGAGACAGGACGCCAGACTTTTGTTTGATAGTTGTTTTCTGAGCTGGATCTGATGAAGTACAGTGAAATTTGCTCGCTCCCTCCCCTAGAGAATTTACTTCTTGATCAAGATTAAGGCCTCCATCATCAATGTTTGGGATTCTCCCAATGGATTATTTACTTCTCTTGATGGCATTAAGAGGTTGAGACTTAATTAATTTACTAATTTTCTTAGTGAACTGCAAATGTGAGTATGAAATCCCATCTGTAAGGAATTGTTGCCTGAACAAAATGGGTAGGGAGCTCTGTTATAATTAGTCCCCAAGACCTTGCCCCCCTCGTTGATCTAGTCTTGGTTTCAATAATATTAATTATTATTAATAATATTATTATTAATATTAGTTATTCTTGAGAAATGCCTATTACTGAAAAATGCCCCCCAAAAGTCAAAATGCTTGTCTTATATTCTAGATGCAGCAAGAATAGCTGTGTTTTGGGGTTCTTTACTTCCAAAAAGTATGTTTTTAAGATAGTCATTCAGCCTGCAGTTAAAATGTTCTTCAGGACATTAGAAACATTTTGATGAAAGCCTTTGGGAATAATCTCCTCACATCTAAGGTACGGGGTGAGCGACACTCAAGAGAAATGTGGTGGAAAGCACAAATGTTGGCAGCTTATATAATAAATAAATAATAATCCTTGCATTTGATATAGCGTTTTGCATGTCTTCTAGACGTCTCAAAGCGCTTCACAGAATATACTGTAAAGTGAATTGACTGTATATTTGTGGGCAAAACTTCTTCCACCTCCGACGCATCGCCCCTCTCCGCTAATACCTCCCTCCGAAAGCCGCTGAAACCCTGGTCCATGCCTTTGTCACCTCTTGGCTGGACTACTCTAACGCCCTCCTCGCCAGCCTCCCTTCCACTACCATCCATAAAATCCAGATTATACAAAACTCTGCCGCCCACATTCTCACCTGCACCAAACTCCGCTCCCCAATTACCCGTCCTTGCCAGACTGCACTGGCTCCCTGTCCCAGAGAGGATTGACTTCAAGATCCTCATCCTTGCATTCAAATCCCTCCACTCCTCTGCACCCCCTACCTCTCTGACCTCCTCTCTCCTCAAAACAGTGCCCGTTGCCTTCGTTCCACTGGGTCTGGCCTCCTCCTCGTCCCAAGTCCTCCGCTCCACCCTCGGCAGCCGTGCCTTCAGCCACTAAGCTCCGAGGCTCTGGAACTCCCTTCCTCACTCCCTTCGTTTCTCCCTCTCTTCCTATTTTCAGGTCTCGGCTGAAGACCTTTCTTTTCGACCGCACCTTCCTCCCCCTGGCTCGATCCCAGGATCCATTACTGTGAAGCGCTCTGAGATGCCATCCGGCGTGGAGGGCACTATATAAATCCAAGTTGTTGTTGAAACGCGGCAGCCAATTGCGCACAGCAGTGCCTCACAAACAGTTGTGGATAGAGTGACCAAATCATTATTGTTTTTTTTCTTAAGGGATTATTATCAGGCGTGTGGAGTAAGGAAACTTGCCCAAGGTTTTGCCCTACCGGGAACAAACCCAGGTCTTACTTGCGAGGCGAGTGCTTTAACCACTGAGCTACAGGACTCCACATCCAAGAGGTAAGAATTTGATTAAAATCCCCACCTATAATTGGAATAAGAGACACATGTGGGACCAAAACAAGTAAAAGGCGTATAGAACCTTTCATAAAGTAATGAGAGCACCAGTCAAATTGGCAGAGGCTAGAATAAAGTGGATCTGTTCACTGAGCACATTCATACTAAGTATGTTCTCCCAGTGGAGGCTTTCATTCTCTTCACAGAACACTTGAAATCTTAAAGGATTGTGATCAGGTGGAATAAATAGATTTGGAAGAAGAACCTCTTCTCGCAGAAAGTTGTGAAGTTATGAAACTGTTTGCTGAGTGGCTGTTAGAGCAAGTCAGTACGGCATTTAAAAAACACAGACAAGCACAAGCAGATATAGTGTTAGAAGTTATGGAAAGAGCAGGGAATTGGGATTAGGACGAATGGCTTCTTGGAGAAGCAAACACCAACACACAAAATGTGCCAAATGGCTTTATGCTGTGTCACACACTTCTATGGTTCTTCAACAACGGCTTGTATATTGCTTGATGAGAGTTAACTTTCTTCAGTTGAACATCATCAAGACCGAGGCTCTCCTGATTGGCTCCTGTCAGCGCCTCCTCACCTCAGTCGCTGACAGCATCACCATCCATGGTTGCACACCCACCTTGCTAAGCCAGTCGGGACCTTGGGGTCTTGTGCGACCCTCAACTATCCTTTCTACCCCACATCTGCACCATGACCCGCTCTGCCTTCCCCCACCTCCGCAACATCACCCGGGTCTGACACTGTCTCACATCGCAGGCCGCCGAAACCCTCATACATGCCTTCATTACATCGAGGCTCAACTATGCAAACTCACTGCTTGTCGGCCTCCCCAACTCCTCCCTCCACAGGCTGCAGATCATCCAGAACTTTGTAGCCCGTGTCCTCTCCCGCACCAGGCTCCGTGACCCCATCCTGGCCCAAGTCTACTGGCTTCCCATCACACAGAGGATACAGTTCAAGATCCTGGTCCTCACCTTCAAAGCCCTCCAGTCTTGCTCCCCCTACCTCTGTGGCCTCCTAACCCCCTTCCATCCTGTTCGCTCCCTCCACTTAGCGGGCTCTGGCCTGCTTCACGTCCCCCAATTGCTCGCCCCACTATTGGCGGGCGGGCCTTCCGCCACTCTGCACCCACTCTCTGGAACTCCATCTTGCAGTCTCTCCCTCGCCACCTTCGAGACCCTCCTCTTTGACCGTGCTTTCGATCTCCCTGCTTCCCCCGCTGCCCTTCCTCCTCCCCCACCCCGTCCCTCAACTCAGGTCCGTAACTCTGTCTGTCCAGTGCCTTGGGACGTCCTCCAGATGTGAAAGGCACTATACAAATGTAATTTTGTTGTTGTTGTATTTATACAGAGCCCTTCATGAGTAGCGTCTCGGAGCATTCTACGATATTGGAACAGATACCTGCAAGAGGTGGTTCTAAGACCAGCATACACGATGAGCCGAATGGTCTTCTGGACTGTGAACATTCTGTGATTGGAAATGCCTCTCCAAGAGGAAGGCAATATCTGTGCAGATCGTGGGACACTGGCTCAAAATGCCGATTGATTGTGCAAAGAGTGCTATCCAGAAGTCCTTCCAAAGTAAAAAACAATGAAGTGCTTACTGAAGGTTTCATGTTATATAAAGTACATCACAGCCCTATTATTGCTTGGTGGTGGCTTGGGAGGGGGTTCACAAAATGCCAGCCACCTTATAATGGGATACTGATCGCAACACAGCTGCTCTCGCCTTGTGCTGCTCTATTAGAATTTGGATCCTCATGTCACGATTTGCAGTGTGATGACACGATTTCCATCTTCAAGTAACAAAACATCGAAGAATCACACTCACCGTTGTGGTTTTATTCTCCTTGCCATCAAATTATATAAATGGAGCCTTTCCTCCCCATTTAGTGTCTAGAATTAAATTAATTTTGAACTAAAAGTTGCATCTGCTCTAAAAGGATTGTATTTATTTTCAAGATAACACCAGGCCTATAAATGTCTGTACAGCGCACCACCTAGAAGGTTGTATTGTGGTGGAATAATTGAGAGTAAAAGGTCAATCTCTGAAATATGAACCTTCACATCGGTTGGCACAATGGTGAAACAAGGAGTTTGTCCAGGTTTATCAGTGGACGATGGTGTAGTAATTAGAAAATAGCTCTTCCCCATTCTCAATGTCTCTGAGTGCCACAAGAACCACACATCTCAGCGGCCTGTAATGAAACACAAAAAGTCAAATACAAGAGATAGAGATAAAACATTTAATTGAGTGTAGTGCAAACAGTAACTCGGAATAGGGCCAATAATAAGTGAGAGTAAGTACACAGTTGGTGTAGTGTTAAGTCTTTCAGTAAGCAAAGTACTTTGATTCTGCTTTCATAAGCATAAGATAGATCATAAGCGTAGAAAACTTTGCCAATGGATATAACATGGAGCCTAATAATAATCCCTCCAAAAACCCAAAACAATAATAAATTGGTCATTTTCAATCTACGACTGTTTGTGGGACATTGCTGTGCGCAATTGGCTGCCGCGTTCGCCCACAAATATACAGTCAATTCACTTTACAGTGTGTTCTGTGAAGCGCTTTGGGATGTCCTCCCGACGTGAAAAGCGCTATATCAAATGCAAGGATTGTTGTTGTTGTTGTTGCTTTCAGATAATAATAGCAACTCAAAATGACTCAGTAGGCTCACCGCTGTGTAGCTGCTAGAAAAAACACAAATACAGGTACAGAAGGCACACAGTTGTGAGACTTCAACAAGGAACTGAGATCTCACCTCATTGGAAGAAACATGATAAGCGCCCTTGTGGGCAGCACTGACTATGCTAAATTGCTGTTTTGATGCCATTGTGACAAAACATTGTTCGAATCCACTGAAACTAACCTCTCTACATCATGACCATAGTTGGCGTTTGGGATGTACTGAAGCAGTTCTATAGGAAAGGCCTCAGGCACATCAAACTCCTGATAACATACATTGGCTGCTTTCTCTGAAACACAAGAAACACTTAAAGGATTAGTTCTTATTCAAACACACCAATGACATAAATTTTATTTCCCTCAATTTCAGAATACTTAGTACTAAGAAACTCTAACAATAATAATCTACATTTTGGCAGAAATATTTTCTGTACAGTGTGAGAAGGAATCTTATTCACACCAAGTAGGATTCCGGTATTTGGCCATAAACGTTTCTGATATTGAATATCATTCAATGTATTTGCCTCGCATCCGTTAACAATGCAATCTGGTTTTCACATTTTTTTAGTGGAATCAGGCAATAAAAATTGTACATCACTGTTGTACTCGTGCCTTTCAATTAATTTCTTCACCAAATAACTAAACAGTTCCCTCTTGCATTTGCTGATACATGTATGTAGCAATATATTTTACAGGGATTAAAAGGAGCATTACATACCGTTAGAACAGTTGTTGACGTACTGACCCACAGCCAATGGATTGAGTGGGGACTCTGTGAGCCAAGTCACATCACTTGTTTTATACGGGCCAAGCCTGTCCCGCCTACTGCATGATCTAAACATTGGGAACAGAAACTAAGAAAATATAACAATAATCTTTGCATTTGATTAATTAACTTAGTTAATTAATGCCTTAGTATATTGTTGAAAACTCAAAGCGCTTCACAGGACTTTACGGTGAAGTGAATGTGTATTTGTGGGTGAAAATATGCTGCATATGCAATTACTACAAGAAATCTAAGTTAATAAATCCTTCCCCAATATGTTGCACACGTTTTGTTCTGATGTAAAGTTTGCAGCACCAGACACAGATTTTTTAAAATAACAGCTTAAAGGCAGAGGTAGAGCACATTACAGCTCTGAGACACTGTGTCACTGAGGGCTAAGATACAATTTCACCCAACAGTGTGTTTATTATGTATGGAGCAATATATTTCACAGGGATTAAAAAGGGCACCACGTACCATTAGAACTGTTGTTGGCGTACTGACCTACAGCCAATGGATTGATTAGGGACTCTGTATGCCAAGTCACATCACTTATTTTATATGAACCGATTTACATGTGTTAATCCATGGTTCAAACATAATAATAATCCTGGCATATGATATAGCGCGTTATCACGTCTTCTAGACGACTCAAAGAGCTTTGAATGGACCACACACTTAATGGACTCCAGAAATCTAGCAGTCAGACTTACTCTCATTATTGCATACAGTACATCTCGTACTCTCTCTCTCTCTCTCTCACTTGTATTGCATTTTAACTGTGCCCAAAACCAGCGAGGAAAATGATCTGAGTATTTTGGGAGAGAAACTCAGTTGTTCACTGAGAAAAATACATGTTGTAAATGAAGCAGTTTATGTTATCTTAATCGTTTGCAAATGCTGAACCAAAATGAAACCAAAAATAAAACAATTAAAATTAAAGAGCCATGTACTGATGTGCTGACATTTCTGCTTTTTTACTGCAATGTACTTCTGCAGTTATCAAAAGCAAAACAAATCTTTTCAAAGTTCAGAAAAAATGTCATTGCATCTGGGAAGCAAACAAAACGTACCTATAAATAACTTTAGAAATTCCCTTGTCGTTCCCATCAATCAACACACCATCTATACATCGAAAAATAAATGGGTTGCATATGGATTGGAAAAGGATTGGATTATATTGTTGATAGACACTTCCTGTTTTTCAAACAAAGAGAACATCAGGTAAATATGACTGAATTAAGTTCACAATATATTTCCTAGATTACACATGTCTATAATAATCCTTCAATTACATAGTATTATTTCATCCCAATTTTGGGGATAACATAACACTACTCTAAATGCAAGGATTCTATCCCAATTTTTATTTCATTGGTGCTAATACAGTGCATGTTTACAACCAGGAGATACAATATAAATTTCCATTTATATAGACACTGGGAGGACATTCCCAACAGTACTGGCGAGGCACCCGATCTGGGGAGGGAGCCAAGAATTTGGGGGTAAAGATGACCAAAAAGCACTGTCAAAGAGAAAGATCTTGAAATGGACCTTGAAAGATATGATGGAGGGAGCGAGTGAAAGGGATGGCATTCCAGAGAGTGGGGCCGAAAAAAGGCAGGGTGGATAGGGTGGGGGACACGGAGCAAACTAGTGCTCGGTGACTGAAGGGAGCAGCTAGGACGGTGGGGTTTAAGGAGGTTAGAGATAGGATGGGGTGAGACAGTGGGAGGGATTTAAAGATGAGAACGAGGATCTTGAACCCAATCCGCTGGGGGGATGGGAAGCTAATGGATATTCCTTACTACTGATACATGATGATGCCGGAGTCCTCACAAACAATCCCCTAGATGAAAAATTGGTCACGCGCTTGATGGCTGTTGGTGGGACATTGCTATTCACAAACTGACCGCCGCAAATGCCTACAAATAGTCACATCATAGTAAAACTCTGCGAAGCGCTTGGAGACACTGATGGTGTGATAAGGTGCAATATCAAATGCAAGATTATTATCATTATAACCTTGATCAAGTGATGTTCACTAAGATCACTATGGGTACATATCATAGAATAATCTGCAGTCAGGAAAGATTTTTCCACCATGGTTAGTGTGAGATAGAACACTCTGCAAACTACGAATAACATTCTTCTGGTGATCACTCTCGCAGGAGATCACAATACTCCAGTGAGTCCCCACTACCCAACCCAAAGCAAACACTTACACAACACAGTTACCAGTTAAGGCAACTCTTTGTAATCATAAAATGCCACCAGAACAACACAGAAATGAACGTGGAAAAACAGTACCGGGATACATGGAAACAACTGCTCCTTTAGGCACTGTTCCTGCAGTGACAAACACCCCCCTGCCAGCCAGAGAAAGTGAACTCGTTGCTCGATTTATACTGAATCCAAGTGTTTCAAACATTGCGTCACCAGAATTAAAATCCACTCTGTTTCCTTTTATTCCGTTTCCAGTTTCTGTAATTGACTGAGGTAAGACGTTCTGGTATTTGGATTGAATGTTTTCCGGCAGCAGGTTAAGAAACTCGGTTTGATTGCTCAAGTCACTCACAAACAAAGCGTGGAATAGTTGGATAAGGGACGTCTGTACCACATGGTCAGAAATAACTTTATCCAATGAATCATCCATCACCGAGCGCAGTGTCCTGTAATCACAGGGAAAGGGATGGTGTCAGACAGACAGACAGACAGACAGGTGGTACCACCTGAGCGTATTGTTACTGACTGTTGACAGTTTAGTGTTATTGATTATTGACAGTTTATTTTCTGTTGACTTATTGATTAATAACAGGTTATCGTTATTGACAAGTTATTGATTATTGACAAGTTGATTATTGACAGGTGATTGTTATTGACAGGTTATTGATTATTGACAGGTTATTGCTGTTGTTATTGGCAGGTGATTGATTATTGACAGGCTATTGATTATTGACAGGTTATGGCTGTTGTTATTGGCAGGTGATTGATTATTGACAGGTTATTGATTATTGACAGGTTATGGCTGTTGTTATTGACAGGTTATTGATTATTGACAGGTTATGGCTGTTGTTATTGGCAGGTGATTGATTATTGACAGGTTATTGATTATTGACAGGTTATGGCTGTTGTTATTGGCAGGTGATTGATTATTGACAGGTTATTGATTATTGACAGGTTATGGCTGTTGTTATTGGCAGGTGATTGATTATTGACAGGTTATTGATTATTGACAGGTTATGGCTGTTGTTATTGACAGGTTATTGATTATTGACAGGTTATGGCTGTTGTTATTGACAGGTTATTGATTATTGACAGGTTATGGCTGTTGTTATTGACAGGTTATTGATTATTGACAGGTTATGGCTGTTGTTATTGACAGGTTATTGATTATTGACAGGTTATGGCTGTTATTATTGACAGGTTATTGATTATTGACAGGTTATGGCTGTTGTTATTGACAGGTTATTGATTATTGACAGGTTATGGCTGTTGTTATTGACAGGTTATTGATTATTGACAGGTTATGGCTGTTGTTATTGACAGGTTATTGATTATTGACAGGTTATGGCTGTTGTTATTGACAGGTTATTGATTATTGACAGGTTATGGCTGTTGTTATTGACAGGTGATTGATTATTGACAGGTTATGGCTGTTGTGAAGGCTGTGGCTGTTGTCACCTCTGGTTCTTGTTCAGGTTGAGGGCGATCCAGGGCACAAACCGGTGTCTGTAACTTCTCCACTTGGAGAGAAACCGCTGCAGCATCGCCGGGGGTCCGGGGAGGGGGTCCGGGGTCCGGGGAGGGGGTCCCGGGGAGGGGGTCCGGGGAGGGGGTCCGGGGAGGGGTCCGGGGGAGAAGCACACGGGGGGGAGACCGGACCAGGTGCCGAGGTCGGGCCTGGGCCTGAGTGCGGGACGGCGCCGCCTCTTCTGATTGGCTCCTGAGCGGTGTGGGCGGGGTTTGGGCGGGGTGTGGGCGGGCTGTGGGCGGGCTGTGGGCGGGCTGTGGGCGGGGTTTGGGCGGGCTGTGGGCGGGGTGTGGGCGGGGTTTGGGCGGGCTGTGGGCGGGGTTTGGGCGGGCTGTGGGCGGGGTGAAAGGTGTGGGCGGGTGTGCGCGGGGGTTGGGCGGTGTCACGCCCAATTGGGCGGGTTTGTTCTTATAAGAAACATGTCTTTGGGCGGGTGTCTAATGTTTAGTTTAAACCGACACAATAGGGAAAAGTAGGGGAGTTTGCCAACCAACATAATTCCTTTTCCTACATTTATATAACGACTTGAAGAAATTTACACGCATGCGGAAACTTGCTGCAACTGCCCCTGAAGTCAGGAGGGAACATAAAAACACAGACACGCAGAGCGCACCATCCAGTTTAAAGCGCTCCAGAACACTACCCTGCACGAAGGGCGCTATATAAGTGCAAGTTGTTGTTGTTCCGCATTTCAAGTCTTCAGACACACAAAGTAAAAGTGACAAAAGTGTCACTTCAAAATGCAAGAACAATAGGAGTTCCTAAACGACCAAAATACTGCAGATGCTGGAAATCCGAAACAAAGTTTTCCCAACCACATCTCTTCCCTCAGTAACTGTCTTTAACTGCAACTAATTCCATATGGATTCCGTCCTCAATTCCACCCTTCCTGCTTTCAATCCACCCATGATCACAGATACCTTTGACTGTTTGTGGGACACTGCTGTGCGCAATTGGCTGCCGCGTTCACCCACAAATATACAGTCAATTCACTTTACAGTGTATTCTGTGAAGCGCTTTGGGACGTCCTCCCGACGTGAAAAGCGCTATACCAAATGCAAGGATTATTATTATTATTATTATTATTACCTGAAATTCGGCACTCTTCTGATCACTGCTCTCACCGTCTCATGAGATCTACTGTCTCCAGCCTGCGCCGACATATGCATACGCTCCACCAGTTCTGATGAAGGGTCGTGGACCTAAAACGTTGACTCACTTTCCTTTCTCCATAGATGTTGCCTGACCTGCCGAGTGTTCCCAGCGACTTCTATTTTTTTTCCGGAGTTCCTAAACTCGTCAATAGAGCCATTAATTGTCAGGTCACTGAAATGTTTATCGAGGCCTGCAGATTACTTGATTAATATCATTATAAGTATAAATCTTAGGTGATTAATGTGATACCTGAAGTAATTACTATCAACACAATAGCTTGAAATCTGTCCATCTCAGTTCGCAAGATCACAAGAAGTTTGAATGACGAAGGCCTTTCAGCACATTTGATCGCATCCTTCTAGAACACCATCTTTCTGTCCTACCACCATGGCCACGATGCTAAACTCATTTAAACAACAGTTTGATAGCATCAACACCTGGCCTCAACACATTTCCTGATAACCTGTTTGAATTGTTAATTACCTGTTGTGTGTAAAACAAATATATTCCATGGTTCCTGTTGGAATATTCCTGTTCTAACGAAGGATCGTGGACCCGAAACGTTGACTCACTTGCCTTTCTCCATGGATGCTGCCTGACCTGCTGAGTGTTCCCAGCGACTTCTGTTTTTGTTTCCAAATACTCCATGGTGCCTGTCCTGGAATTGCCCTTTACAGCTCTGAACCTGTGCTGTCTTGTTCTCTTGCTCAGTTGCCTTGTGACTTGTCAGCTTGCTTCATTTAGTAACATTCTTGCCTCTCAGTCAGAAGTTTCTGAGTTCAAACTCCAAGGTGAGGCGCTTGACAATGAAATGTCTGAATTGAGTCAGCCCTCTGAGGCAATCTTGGTAAGTTTGGTTCCTTGAGCCTGATAGTGCTCCAAGACACTATCAATTGGGTGGTTCCAGCTGGCCAAGTGGCAGGAAGCTTGACACACTAATGGCAATAGATTGGGCTGAGACTTGAGTTCATAATTTGGGCCTTCATCTAATGTGCAATATTAAAGAAATGCTGTATTGTTGGAGGTGCTGTGTTTCAACAACAACAACAAATTACATTTGTATAGCGCCTTTCACATCAGGAGGACATCCCAAAACGCTAGACAGTCAGGGATCTGCACCCAAGTTGGGTGGTTGGGATCAGGACGGGTGGAGGGCAGGGAGGGTAGGGTGGGAGAGACAGTGGCGGAGCTAGACAATGTTATCGAGGTGGAGAAAGGCAGAGCGGGTCAAGGCATGGATGTGGGGGATAAAGGACCATTGAGGGTTGAACAAGATGCCGAGGTTCTGTATTGGCTCCATCACGTGTAGAGTGCATCCATGAAGGGAGATACTGTCAGCTGAGGTATGGATGTGCCGACAGGACCCAAGCAGGAGGGCTTTGGTCTTGTTGATATTCAACTGGAGGAAGTTTGCTCTCATCCAAGACTTGATGTCCGACAGGCAGTCTGTGAGGACAGCAGTGGTCCTGGAGTTGAGCGTGGAGGCAGAGTTGGGTGTCATCCTCATTCATGTGGAAGTTGTCCCCATGTCTATGGATGATGTCACTAAGAGGGAGCATATATATAGATATTGAAGAGGAGGCGACCAAGGACAGAGCCCTGAGGGACACCACACGTGATGGTGCGGAGGCTGCAGGAGAAGCTGTTAGTGGATAAGATGTTAAACTGAGGTCCCATCTGCCTGTTCCCATAACACTATTTGATAAGAACTGGACAATTCACTGTTTGTTGGAATTTGCTGTGAACGACATAGCTGTCATGATTGCCTACAAAAACAGCCATGATATTTGACGGTAATTACTATAAAGCAATGACATGTTTCATTATGATAAGGTACTATAAAAAATGCATTTTTTTTCTTTATTACAATGTATTTTCATTGTAGCCTTTATGTCAATCAAGCATTGTATTAATGAAGAAAATACCTTTCATTCTTAGGAGAGGACAAATGATTGAATAATTAATGTATTTCAAGAGTGAAAAAAGGTAGTTGCTGAATTAAAGTAGCCTATCATATGGATAAAGCACTGTGTAAAATGCACACCAGTGATCTTCAATAGAACAATTTATTCCACAGGTAAATATTAAATTGAAACAACATCCCTATTTCCATACATAGTATATTGTCAGGTTTGTGAATAAACATTAAAACTATTGACAATTTTAGCTGGTTCAGCTGTACTGTTGGCCACTGGGAGGTGCTGCTGCACAGTGTTGAAACATTTGCTGCAGTCAAATGTGCTCCATTCACAGCTAAATATTGGATTGAATGAAACGCACAGAAACCAAAGAACGAAATATGGCCACTTAAAAAGATATGGCCAAAGCATCCATAAGACATTCGTAAACCTGAAGAATGCAAGTATTGAGACGAGTCTCTGCTTGAATTAACATTGTTAAAACTCCATTTAATTATCCATCATTAACTGCAAAGTGGTCCTGGATCTTTCAAAAAATATCAACGAGAAAATGTCATCCTATCAGCAATAATACACGACTAAAATATACACTTTAATTCATTATATATTTATAGTTAGCCCTTTTTGATGTGCTCTTTTACCCATTCCATTAATTAAATCCATAATTTCTATTAATTATATTTTTTAAATTATGATTCTTGCATGGCAGCCAATTTGCACATACTAATGACCCCCAAACAGTCAACTGGTGAATGTCCAATTTATTTGGATAATTGTTGGTCAGGAGAAATTTCCTTCTCTTTTGAAATAGTGCTTAGACTCCTTAACATTCACTTTAAAAGGTAGACAGGACCTTGGTTTTATGTCTCATCTAAAGCAAGGCACCTTTTTATATGCTAACTGTTCAGTCATTGATTAAAATGTAAAATATAAGTTTAATACGGTGCGTGTTTGTTTATGTATGCATGTCCTGAGCTCCCGGTGGGACCACATTTTCAAAAATGGCATCTGATTGGTTTCAAAGACCCCTTTGCTAGCCAATTGATGTAGTGGGCTGTAAATAATGCTCTGGTTAAGATAGGTCCTGTGTAGTAACTGGGTCAACTTTTGAATACATTATTCACTTTATTCCTCAATCTTCTTTCACCTGCTGCTATCCTGTAGAGATGTTTCCTGATAATGTACTCTAATTTATAAACAAAGAGGCAAAAGCTAACCCAGGGAACTACAGACTGGTGAGTCCAATGTCTGTTGCTGAGGGCGTAGGAAGGGCATAGGAAACCAGGAAGAAGGGGACGCAATTCAGTCCATTAAATGAGGTCTGACCAATGCTCTATATAACTGTTACATCCTGAGGGAGCAAAAACAATGAAACACCTGGAAAAATATGTAATTATATGAGAGATTCAGTGTGGCTTTCAGAAAGTTAACGTATGTCAAATCTATTGGGTAGTTCCCCCAAACATTACAGACCTCTGGACAAAGGAAACAGAGGGTACTATGACACTGTACATTTAGATTTTTTGTAAAGCTTTCAACAGACACACACACACAAGAGAATTGTGCACAAGATGGTAAGGCCTGAAATGGGAGAAGGAATAGCTTCTGAAGTGGATCAGAAAGAGTTTGAATCATAAGAAACAACATGTTTGATTGGCCTTCTTCTGTTCCCCTTTTCCTATCTTACTCCTTAAGGTCTCCAATGTACATAGTCAGTAGCATAGAAGTAACGAACTAGACTGTCTCAGTGACCAGTGGTATGGCTAGCCCTATTTATGGTGAACATTCATAGATTCATAGCTTCATAGAATGTTACGGCACAGAAAGAGGCCATTCGGCCCATCGAGTCTGTGCCGGCTCTTTGACAGAGCAAGTCACTTTCACTAACCCCAATCACCAGCTTTCTCCCCATAACTCTGCAAACCCGTCTTCCCCAGATACCTATCCACTTCTCTCTTAAAAGCTGTTATCGAATCAGACTTCACTGCCCTTTCAGGCAGATCATTCCAAATTCGAACAACTCCCTGAGTGAAAAAATTTCTTCTAACCTCCCCTCTGCTTTTTTTGGTAGATATCATAAGACTGTGACCACGGGTAATATATAATTGATATGAGGAGGGAATAGACACTGTGCTTGTGGATGATACCAAATCAGGTAGAGTTAAGAAGGACAGGCACCAGATTAACCAAATACAGAGGAATCTTGATAAGATTAAGGAGTTGGGCATCCAAGTGACAAAACTGTTATCATTCAATGTGGTCCTCATTCTTGTAAAGTGCAAATGAAGATATGGCAGCCCATATCGCTTGAGAAAGGACAGGGAAAACTCCAGAAATAGATTTGTTCAGAAGTTACTTGTGACTGTTCTCCCCAGCTCCACAATGAATAAAATCCGATTAATTCAAAACTCCACCATGTCAACTGCAATGGGTCAATTGTGTATTTATAGTTTAGTTTATGATAATTTGTCAGTTAAGGTTATGCCTAGCTTTTGTTTAAAAAAGGAATTTCTCAATAGCCACTCTCATGCAGAAAAAGGATTTCTCAATCGTTGTAGTCCCGGCAGGGTGAAACCTTGGGCAAGTTTCCTTACTCCACACGCCTGATAATAATCCCTCAAGAAAAAAATAATTTGATCACTCAATCCACGACTGTTTGTGGGACACTGCTGTGTGCAATTGGCTGCTGCATTTCACCCACAAATATACAGTCAGTTCACTTTACAGTCTATTCTGTGAAGCGCTTTGAGACGTCAAGAAGATGTGAAAAGTGCTATATCAAATGCAAGGATTATTATTATTATTTAATTGTAATTAATTTAAATCAAATTGTTGAATTGGAAACTTGTGAGTCTTTGTGTGGTTCGAGATCCCAAAACAATCAAATCTCACACAGACATGAGAAAAGGAATTTTACAACCTTTATGTAGCAGTGTGCACAATACAGAAACATATACCTGTAGTTACTAATCCAGAGAACAGAATATACAGTTGCAGGAATTTTCTTCTTTAAGTCGTATCTTCTTTTCTTATCTTGCCTTTTTTCCTGGGTCTGCTCCAACTTCAGCTTAGCTAGTGCCCCATATTTATATATGTGAACAAACAAGTTTTCGTAACCTCAACACCATCTGGTTGTCTCACAGATACAATTTTTTTTTAACGTCTCACCTAACAATGACCATCTCATTTGAACATTCTGCAACGCCACCTAATTATCACTCACCGACACCACTTCTTTGTCTTAGGTCTCACATAACACAGGCCCCCTGTTGCACATTCCTTTTTCCCATGTAACTAAACCAGAGAAAGGACATCAGTCAAAGAAAAGCCAGAACCTATTCATTCTAGCAAGTAAACAAGTTATACAAGTACTGTACAATCATCAGCAAAACTACATTCACTCCGTCTCGACTGGCTCCAGCCTCCTCCATGTGCCTTGTGCCCTCTGTGCCCCCAAAACTCTGGAACACTCTTCCCTCTATCCCTCCACCTTGCCCTTCCTTCACCTGAAGACCTTCTTCTTCGACCGTGCCTATAGTCACCTGCCCCATGGCACCAATATCAAGCTCTCTGGGACGCCCAACCAGTCTGTTTTTCATACTCCATAAGTCTCCATCAACTCCCTCCCATAACCTCTATTCCCCTCTCCCTCACATGAATATTTAGCTTCCTCTTAAATGCATCAATACAATTTGAATCAACCACTGCTTTGGGTAGTGTGTTCCACAATCTCACTACCCTGTGTATGAAGAATGTCCTCCCAAATTATTTTAGATCTCCTTGTCGCTATCTCAATACTTGTGTATATTGGTTATGGACTCCCCAACAAGTAGGAACAGCCTATTTATGCTAATCTTATCAAACCCTTTTATAATTTGAACCACCTCCATTTGGTCCCCTCTTAAACATCTCTCCTCTTGCAAAAAGAAGTGTAACCTATCGCGGCTATCCCCATAGCAGTAATCTGCCAGCCACAGTATCATTGAAGTCAACCTACTCTTTTCATCTATATCCTTCTAGAAGTGTGGCAACCAGAATTGCACACAGTACTCCATTTGTATTCTAACTACGGTTTTATACAAAATCAACATTACCTCCTCGCCTTTATACTCTATCCCTCTGGATACAAAGTCCAGGACCCCATCAGCCGCTGAAACCCTCATACACACCTTCATTATTTCGAAGCTCGACTACGCAAACTCACTGCTAGTCGGCCTCCCCAACTCTCCTCCCTTCACAGGCAGCAGATCATCCAGAACTCCCGCACTAGGTTCCGCGACCCTATCACCCCCATCCTTGCCCAACTCCACTGGCTTCCCAGCACGCACAGGATACAGTTCAAGATCCTGGTCCTCACCTTCAAAGCCCTCCATGTTCTTGCTCCCTCCGCTCAGCGGGCTATGGCCTTCTTCACATCCACTATTGGCGGGCGGGCCTTCCGCCACTCTGCACCCGCCCTCTGGAACTCTATCCCGCAATCTCTCCGTCTCACCCCCTCCCTGCCCCCTTCAAGACCTTCCTCATGACCCTCCTCATCCACCATGCTTTCGATCTCCCTGCTTCCCCCCTCTGCCCTCTACCCTCAGCTCGGGTCTGAAACTTGTCTGTCCAGCGCCTTGAGACGTCCTCCCGCCGTGAAAGGCGCTATACAAATGTAATTTTGTTGTTTATGGCCTCATCTACCTGTACCAGTACTCTTCAGTATATAGCTGAAACCCTGTATTGATTACCGTTTTGTATTGCACTGTATTGATTAGTTTTGCATACTGTGTGCAGTGAAAAGTGACAAAAGATGCAGAACTTGTCCAAAAAAATTTTATTTACTAGAAAGACAAAACACCAAAATAGGTCCAAATTATGCTATAAAATGTTTCAAAACATGGGGTAAAAATCTTAATAATTAAAATATTTCGATATATTTAAAATTACAAAGGATACATTTAGCCAATTTTTTCAACCCCAGAGATTTATTTTTTAAAAATATTTGCTTGCACAGTAAGGTGCTAATAGACGTTAGCCCTTAAGCCCTGGAAGTCTTAGAAATTACAGTCACATAGCAAATATAGTTTCATTGTGAAAGTGTACTTTGGTAGAAGAAAAACTATAGGACACCTGAGGTAGTAGAAACTGGAATAAACAGCAGTAGACGTTATTTACAATTTAAGAAAGTACCAAATAACATAACAGGACCAGCACAAATAATTACATATTACATTTTCAGTCCAGCTCTGATCCAAAGAGATAAGATTACATCACGTCGGCAAAAAATAAAAAAACACACAAAAAAAATCACAATTACAGCAAGCTGAGGGCAATGCAAACAATCTCAATTAAAATGCAACTTGGTAATAAAAAAAGCATCAACTTATTAAACAAGCTAGATGCTGAGATCTATGACGTAATACTGATTAGCCGAGGTTCATCAGTTTAATGCTTCTGTCAGACACAGTGAAAATTTGACAAAAACATTTCCAGTATAAAATGGCAAGAGTGCATCATTTAAAGCTCAAGAAAAGAACACATTTTTTTAAAAAAAAACTTATTGACTTGAAAGGATCACTGCAAAAATAGGATTCCAGGTGGTCAATAAATTAAGGAGTCACTGCTACAAACATATCTATACATATTTTAACTCTTTCAGCAATAACAGCACCTTTTTTAACCAGTTAGGAATGTGATACTTTTTTATATATAAATATAACGCACATGTTTTCAGGGCTTCACATTTTAATCAGTTTTTAAATGAAACATGGGGACCCAAACCCCTTAATATTTAAAAGCTATTTTCAATTTTTGTATTACCCATATATATCAATTTGACACTCAAATCCTTTATGAAACATGCCACACTTAAAAATGGATAACAGTGGTTCACAATTTATCACAACAGTAAGACGTATTGCTCAAAGAGTTAAAATCCCCACATTTAAATGTTTAAAAGATGCAAGCTTTTACAGCTGATCACTTCTCAAAACACATCTAAAATAATTCGGTTCAACTGAAAAGTCAAAGCAAAAACCCTGTTCTTCAATACTAGAAGAATGAATGTAGGTATATCAACATAGATTTGGCATAAGGATAGGTCAACTATCAGGATTTTGACTTTAAGAGGCAGGCCCTTTGATGTGATCTCTTTTGATCCTTTCATGTAACATTTTTCAGTCCGTTAGTGGCCTTTTGGACAATACTTCTTTTGATAAGAAAAACTCATTTGATGAAATTAAAAATTTGCCCACATTTCTATAAACAGGACTGCAGATAATTTTAAAAAAGGTTTCATGGCAGAGGACCTGCGACTTAATAGTGCAGGACAAGTTCCAAGTCTTCTCTCGTTCTTTGCTTCATAAAATAAGGTGATGGAAACAATAGCCATAAACTAGTAAAGCACCACACAATTTGATTACAAGCCCACTAACAACAACGAGGAACGGTTTCCCAGCTTACTGCATTAAATTACATATTCTACTTGCAAGCAGATATCAGTCAGTGACTACTAAAATTCAAGATCACTAATCCAAAAGGCAGTCCAGTCACACTAAAATTATTAGAGAGTGCAATGAAAGCTGCAATGGAATAGGGAGACGACCAGTCTAAAGCAGGATGGAGTTAAGAAGGAGCTAGCCTTTCCCTGAAGGAAAACTGCAGATCAATCCTTGAATGTAAATAAGAGACTTCTTAAAAAAAGGTCGACAGTAAGACATTTTTGCAAAGATTTCAGAATCTTACAGCAGCAAACAAAAGTTCAACAGATAAATAATATTGTATTAAAGTTCAATAAAAAGGCTTCAAGACAGGGGGCAAATAAGACAGCAGCAGGTTTCATCTGGCATAGCTCCTGCTTAACATTCATCATCTGAACTAAGAGACTATACAGCAGTTGCTATTGAAATGTTCTGTAGAAAGGGCAGTGATCACTTTAGACATGTAAAGGTAATCTATTACGTGCTTTACATGAGCTAGGACACATGTTCAATAAACTGTAAAAGCTTGCAAACAGTATTTTTTCAGGAACTTAACTCAAAACAGCTAAATTATGGCAATTTATTTTATTTATTTTTTTACAAATACACGTTTTGAAAACAAGTTTCAAACTTAACCCTTCCCTGAAAATTAAACAAAGTAAGCGAGAAATGAACACCACAGAATTTCCTTTCAATTACAACAGCAGCCAAAATGATCTGCAGAAAAATGGACAAGATACAGCGGCCTAAATTGCCCAATTAACTTTGAAGACTACTTTCTGGTTCACTGCCTTCCCCAACAAAATAACTTGATAATTACATAAGTTGGCGTCCATGAATATTAAAAAGTTTGGGTTCTAAAACCAGAAAAAAAGTTTTACAGAATCATTTTGCTAACAGGTTTAACAGATAGGAGAGTCTGGTGATTTCAACAGGACATACCCTCAGTTTTACTTTAGAAATGCATGAACCATAAGCCACATCCAGTGGCAATTTAACAGATATATAAAACAACAAAACCTTGTGGAGCATCTCAGCTGCGAGGATTTGCTGAAAAAGTGCTCTAACAGAAGAATGTTCTCACTTAATTGCCCCACAGCTTCTATCTGACAGACAAGCCCAAACCTACACCTCACTGCTGAGGACGAGTCTGGTCAATAAGAAGGCACAACTAGCAAGTAAGAACACCATATTTGCATACTGTTATAAGGTACAAATCCATGTGTGGCAGTCATACGTTGAGACACAGGATCATTTTGGCCTTTGTTGCTTTATGTAAGGCCAGTCATTTACACAGTTCTACAGTGCACCACGACACATCTTCAGGCATTTTGATTTTTTCAGTAGTTTCTTCAGCACAGCTTTCATTTGCCATGGGTACCCGTTACCATGTTGTTCGGAAGACTGGGTGTTTCAGAAGTTCTCGCGATGGAGGCCTATCCTGGGGCTGGAGTTCCAGGCATCGGAGAGCTACATCCCGCAGTCCAGGTGATAAATGGATTGGAATTATTGGGGCGCTGGTAGCACTGGCAATCTGTTCCCATTTTTAAAGAAATAAGATGCAAATTTTGAAATAAGTTTCCAATATGCATTACAGTCGTCATTAGCTTTAACCATTGTCACAAAAGTTGGTAGTTGGGGGGGAGGGAGTGGGGAGAGGCAAAATTCTGAAATGGTAAGGTTAAAACTGCCAACAACATTATCAATGTGGCTATTCTTGAGCCACTAAATAAAAACAATCCAATGGCAAAGTTACACAGTTATTTTATACTTTTGAGGGGATTCAAAAATAGATTGGATCTGGCCAGAGGTGTCTCCATTAGCAGATTGCACCAAATTGTATATTTGGCACAATTCGAAGAGAGATGGGAGTTTCTCCTTGTGTTCCGGCCAACAAATCCCCCAAATAAAATTGGCCACAAACTAGCAGCTGCATTTCATCCACAAAATACAGTCAATCCACTTTACAGTGTATCCTGTAAAGTGTTTTGAAACGTCTCAATGACACGATAAGGCAACATTGAATGCAAGGATTAATTACTATTGAATTTGATCTACTGGTATGTAAAGCTATAATAATAATAAATAATCTTTGCATTTTGATATAGCGCTTTTCACATCTTCTAAACTTCTCAAAGCGCTTCACAGGATACACTGTAAAGTGAATTGACTGTATATTTGTGGGCGAAACGCGGCAGCCAATTGCGCACAGCAGTGTCAATCCAGTCGTGGATTGAAAATGACCAATTTATTATTTTGTTTTTTGGAGGGATTATTATTAGGTGTGTGGAGTAAGGAAACTTGCCCAAGGTTTCGTCCCGTCTGGAATTGAACTCAAGTCTCTTGCTTGCAAGGCGAGTACTCTAACCACTGAGCTACAGGACTCCACAAAGCTGTATGCACTGCAAATTTGACTTGGATAATTTGACATCAATCCACCTACCTTAAATATTAGAGCAAGATGATTGGAGTGCTTCTCTGCATTCCAAGGAGGCTTAGCGCAGGCCATCTCTATAACCACACAGCCAACACTCCATACGTCACAACTTCTGCCGTACTGTTGGCCGCGTAACACCTAAACAATAATCACCACAGTAAGGAACTATAACAATGACTAATGTCAATTACTGCTGAGATCTAGTTTTGCATACAGCGTTATGAAGTAGACATTAAAACCAATACCAAATCCAGTTTCACAAATAATAAATGAAGCTAGACCAAGAATCAAAGCCAATGTGAAACAAGGCACATTCCTTAGAAAAATATAAATGAAACTATAAATGCTGAAAATCTGAAATAAAAACAAAAACTAAGCATCTGAAAGAGAAAGTAGGTGGCTGTTTCAGATCTATTGCTTCATAAGAACTCTTTACTGAATGTCCAATTCATCACATTTCTGTTTTAAAGGAGTTGATCAGGAAGCTCTAATTTATGCTCTAACTACAGGGACTTTGGGTTTCCTGGAGTTTCGATTACCAATTCACAAAGGTATCACCGAACGTCTGAAGCTGTGATTTCTTCGTACTTTTAATACACTGATAAAATTTCATGCCTCAATGCCTTGCATTCAACATAACTGAATGCAAGATGGGTAAACTTCTCCTACCCCACCCCTAAAGTCTTCACAAACCAAAGATTTTGAAAATAAGATGGGACAAAAACAAACTTGTGATAATAATCTTGCAAGATTTGTTTCCGTATCGCCGTGGAATGGCACATGACTGCTACAGATGCCAACGGTGAAGAAATTAACCTAAAACATCCCAAGGAATACATCACCAATACAATGGAAGGTATGTGAAGGGGGAAAGGTGGGGGGCTGAGGAACTGTGACTGTGAAAGAGTACAGTTGCTGTCTGTGTGCCACTATCGCTTGCTTCTCAGCTACATCAAAAGCAACACTGGCAGAGATTGATTGTAGGTCAAGTCCTTCCTTTACATAAATTGAAGGCTGAACCCATTTTGTGTTGATAGGTGAACTCCAGGCTTTTTTTGTTAGACTGAATAATTGAAGAGGTACAGAAATAGAACTTCCAAGTTTCATTCAGGTTTTATTTTTTCTCACCTCCGGTGCCATAAATGCAATGGTTCCCAGCAACTGCCCCTGAAACTCGCCCGCACCAGTGCCTTTTGATGCCAACCTGGCAGCAGCTCCAAAGTCTGCTATTCTTAGTCTCTGCCCCGTGCTGTCAATTAGCAAATTGGCACCTAGAAAACAAAAGGCCACAAGTCAGCACAGCCTCGGCACGGGAGACGAATACCTTCCCCTAGTTACAGCCCCAAATATTCTAACAAATGGCACTTATACATTCCGAAGAGAACTCATTCCCTGACAACTGCAGGGAGGCATGTCTTCTTAAAAGTAGCAACCATGTCATTGGATCTGGTCTGCACTCAGTTCAAGGCTTCAAAACCAAAGGTCAGAGCAAGATCTTCCTCTAACTTCCCTGTGACAGCACCACAAAGCCTAGTTGCTCACAGCAGGGACTTCTCTCACTTCATCCATTTCTCTTTTGAAGTGCTTCGTATTTGGCCAAGGATCAAGGCATTTTTACCTTTGATGTCCCGGTGGATGATTTGGTTCTCATGGAGATAAGCCAGGCCACGCAACAGCTGCTCAATATAATTAACAACAACTGGTTCCTTGAAAGCTCCGTACTTGTTCAGCAAATGAGAAACTGATCCACCTGCAAACAAAAATTCAATGTAAATAGATTCTGAAATCGATCACAGAACCTGCCTATTATGACTATATCAATCAATTTAACCCTTAGAGTAACAGCAGGTTCATAGAATCCCACCTATGGGTGCTCACAAGTTGTCAATTGCTCAGTGTAAAGAAATACTTCCTGATGCATGTCTGTCACAACCCCTGAAACTGCCCCTCTTGCTCTTGTTGTTCATTCACATTTTAATTTCTTGCATTATGACAGTGAAAAGATACTTGACATTACCATCTAAATTTATTTTTGTGCCTTCATTTCAAAAGGTTGCAGTGACATGTTACTGTGTTTTTATTGCCTTAATCAAAAATAAGCCTGAAGATTGATCATCATGTCCCGTTCACCTATGATCCAAAAAGACCAGTCAGGATTGGGAGTAGGTTTGGGCAGCAAATGTGAATATACATCAAACACACCCAGGTAAAGACAGGGACACAGCAATTAATTACCAACAACATGTCTGTGAAAAAAAAGGTTGTACCAGAACTACCAGAAGCCAAGTATGTATAGACACATCAGAAATTACTTATCATTGCTCCAGACATTGCCACTTGTATAAAATAATACTGCATTTTATTTATAAAAGAATTATAAAACTCTAGGACAACCCATAGTCAGCTTCCATCTTATCCAATTAACCTTTGCAAGTGTTGCACACCGTATGGTTTGGATGCAGTTTTCCCCATTAAAAGATCAAACTTGGGAGTTAAATAAGATGCTTGAAGAGGAAGCATATTAAAGGGTATGTGCAGGGAGCAGGGGAATGGAGAAAAACACTAAGGCAGAATTGATGAATCAAATGGCCCATTTCTGTGCAAAGCATCCCATCAAGCTGATATTTTAGTGGTTTAAGGCTAATATATCAACAACAAAACAACAACAAAATTACATTTATAGAGCGCCTTTCACGTAGGGAGGACGTCCCAAAGTAATAAACGATAGTTAATGTTTTGGAAGCTTTAGTACTGTGATATATTTATTGTTTTTCAGCATCATGAGATGAAAACTGGTCCGTCCACAACAACACTAATTCTGCCTTTGTGTTTTTCTCCGTCCGCAGCTGGCAATCACAGTGTTAACTCATACAATTTCAAAAACTCAAACCGTTTCCTATCCTCCTCAATAGGAAACCTATCCTGTTTATCAAACTGAACCATTTCATCTTTCAAATCCTCTGTTTACAGTGCATTCCCTTTTATTGATTTTCTTTTGACTGCTTTGTGGCTGTTCCATATCCTTTTTTAAAAAAAATGTTAAAAGCACAATGTTCCACCTAATTATTCTGAAACATGACTCAATTGTCTCGTGTTCAAAACCGGATTCAAGGAGTCAAAAGTAGAAAATATACTGAAGAATAATGTTGTGCCTCTAGGATGTCTAACATACAATAGAGGAAGACAACACCCTTTTAGAACTTGGGTTAACTTGTAGTGGATTGAGGTGTGGAGTCGAACAATGGCTTACCCAAAAATTTCAAAATCCACTAGATCTTTAAAACGCCTGTGGGCCGCAGGAAGTCAGGATGGTCAAGTTCCAGGTCATGAAGTCACTGTTGATGTCACTTCCTTTATATAATCTGATGAGATCTTACCTGCCATCCATTCAACAAACAAGTTATAGTTGCTCTTCTCGCAGGTGGCGCCCAGCATCCGAATGATATTTGGGTGATTAAGATGGCTCATCATCCGGATTTCTTCCCGCAGCGTCTGCACAACTTCCTCTTGCTCAGATGACGTGTTCCTGATATAAGTCACCTGTTTCCGGGTCAATAAAGTATATTTAGAAGCATAGACTGACAATGCCTTAGATATTCATACAAATAGCTGACATATTGGGAGCTGTGCGTTGTTGGGGGGGGGGGGGGGGTAAAGAGATCAAGTGATCTTTTACTCTGATATACAGGCTGCCTCGTTCTGGTTTGGTTGTAGGAGACAGCAGTGAGATCTCAAGCAACAGTATGAGCACTGAAACAGAACAGTAAACGGCTTTCAAGTCAGAAAAAGAACCAAGGAGTAAATCCAGTTTTCTTCCTTGGAACAACAAGTGTGAAATGGACCCAACTTGTGGTTGATAGTGATTTAATTTTGTGAGTTCCAACCTCCACAATCTCCAACTCATCCAAAATACTGCATCCGTTCTCTCTCCCTGTAAAAGCTGTGCACACCGATTTACTCCCCACCCCGCACCAGATTCCTCTGACTCCCAGTGGTTTTTGGACTTTTAAACAACTGTAGACATATTTGTTCCCACCCCCCCAACTGTTCCTATTGAGGCATCGGCAGAATATATTGAAATTACCTGTTTAACAGCCATTAATGTTCCCGTTCCTACATCTTGTGCCTGGTAACATGAAGAGAAGGCCCCAAGGCCGATCTGTTGACCTTTGAACCATTCTACCCCCTCTCTGTAAGGGAGTTTTGCTTTGGTATGTCCAGGTAGAGTTTCTGGTGTCTGTAATTAAATTATTACAAGCAAAAAGGTTTTATTGAGAATCAATTTTTATATTCAATTTGCATCCTAAAATTGATGCTCCTGCCAAACTAAACATATTAATTGGATATGTATTAAACACAGCTAAAGTTGGCAGCTGAGCATGAACAAAAAGTTATAAATGAGCATACGTTTGACTATTTTTAAGAAACTATGTAAAGCATTTATTAAGTTACATTTCAGATTAATGTGAACATGTCAACAATATTGGCAACAGACCTACACAGACGTGTAGATAAAACAAATTCAGTTTTCTCTTGGGATCTGAAAAAGTTTAGTTTTTGTAAAATACCAAAAGATATATATCAAAACATCTCCTCCATGGGTAACTATCCAACATGGTGTTGTTGACAAATTTCTCATATTAAACAGCCTGTTGGACATCAGACTATATTTTAACTGAAACATTAAACTGAATGTGCTACAACCCAGCACTTGACATAACTCATATGCATTCCCTTAGATCTACCCCATTCCGAGGAAGGAAATGGCAATTTTGTCACCTTCCTTTGGTGGATTGTCAAGTTACTTTACCCTGCCTCCCAAGAAGCCTCAATTACTGCATTTCCCCAGAAAGCTATGAATTAGTGTGACACAAGGTGTTGCTGCTTCTATTCTCCTTAACTCCTGAAACTCAGTAAGTTTTCATCTCAAAACACCAGAGATCTTTTCACCCACAAAATACAGTCACTCCACTTTACAGTATATTCTGTGAAGTGCTTTGAGACACTGACTGATGATTAGAATTGAAAAACCCCTTTAGAAATGAACACTTAACATTGCTGCTCTTGATTCCAACATGATTTTCAGTCCTCTATTATGGAATTACCTAACAAAACAGTTGTGTGTACAAGTGTGTGTATTTGTGTTTACATATATTATAACTTGTGGGGAGGGGAGGAGGAAAAAAATATTGCAGTTTATAAATAAAGACAAGGAAATAATAATGTGTGCAGAGGGAGAGAGGTCAGGAAGTGAAAATGAAGAAGACACTTACATCTAACTGAATGAGAATGACATCTTCTCCATTTTGAACCTGCAGTTGAAGAATAGCTGGCAAAGCGTCCTGAGATGCTGACATAGCTAAGACAATAGCTAATGCTTCTTCCTCCTCTGCTTCCAGTTTTTCCTTGCATTTCTGGTTCTGATTAACATCATCCTTGTAGGTACTGTCAGTTCCTGCTTGCTCTGGAGACAGTACAGCAACTTCAGATTTAAACGTCACTGTACTATCACACGTCGGTGTCGAAGGTTCCAGCAGGTCCTCCATACTGGAATTCAGCTCTGCAGAAGTATCCAGACGAAAGATATCCTCTACCGGAGTGAATGCAGTATCATCACTTGGAATAACTGCATTGTTACTGCAGTGGTCACCAAGTGTTAGCTCTTTCAGATCAAGCATCATAGTGCCTCTGGTTAAATCAACTGGTGACTTCCCTGCTTCATGCTGGCATGGCCGAGTTGCTTTTGGTCTGTGAAGTTGGCTGGATGGAGAGGGCCGTGCTTGGGTAAAAACCGGAGAGAGCTTTTCAGGTTCTTTGCCCCCAGAGGCCTCTATACAGCAGTTCTTTTGAATCTGAAGAGAAAACTTACGTTGTGTTTTTGGGGACGAGGATGCAAGCTTGCTAGGAACAAAACTCTGAGGTCTCAATTTGGAACCATCAGTAGCTGTGGATCCAGCTGAATGGCTTGAAGAAGGGGAAGGCAATGATGGGAATGAAGGTTGGGAATGATTTAATGATGATGCTGATGAAGAGTGATTGACACACTGACTCAGTGGTCGGGGGCGTGTCTGGATGGCTGTCTTTGGTTGCTCAGAGGACACTGGTGTGGCTGGAAGTCTTGCTGAAGAAATACTTCCTCGCCTCTCTCCCACATCTTCTTGGCGAACACCACCTCTGGTGTCACGGTCTGGACTAAGCCCTTTTACTGCTATTCCCGATAACTGCAATGCATTGACTAATGAGTTGTTTTCTGTAACATTTGGTGAGTTATGTGGTGCTGAGGGCTCTACAAATTCATCATGTCTGCCTTCAGTGGCATACATGTCATCCATCCCCAGCTGAATAATCTCAAGGATGTCCATTTCCTCTGCGATAGCCATCAGGCGACGCCGCATCCGTGTGTAATGAGTTGAGCTGGTTACACTCAACATATCAATCAGTTTCATAAAAACATGAGGCACTCTTGTAACCATTCGTGCAGCACTGAGAAACACTCGGCGAGACATTTTTCCAACCATTGAATGGGAATTGTCAATGGACTGCAGTGCAAAGTTCAAGAGAGACAGTAGCTTCTTATACCTAGATGAGAATAGAGAAATAAAAAATGGCACTTCCTTATCACTGCTCTCATAAAATAAACATACATACATAAAGATTGCAGATGCCCCTAAATTACTTCCAAAAATTACACTCTGAAATCTGCCGATATCTTCCCTTCCATTCCCTTTGAGAAGGTATCCGTTCATACAACTTAAATTTACACAATTGAAGTTTTACAAACCTCTATTTAATACATCCTGCTGTAGGATCCATGAACCACTATCAACCAGCAAAACTATAGATTAAATATCAGAAAATAAACTCTGAAATAAAGAATCCCAAGCTTAAACCCCTTGAAAAGGAAGTCAAGAAATATTGGCTACTTTTGTGTGGTCAGGCTCTTTCGCTTATAACAACACTGTCAGATAATGCAAACATACACAGACTTACGAAAGCAACACTGAAGTTTGTCTGGTTTTGTATTGAAAGATTGGATCAATTTTGTAATATTTCTTAACAGATCTCTTACTTAATAAATCTCTGAAGTCAATGACAGTGCCTCGAGGGAATGCCAACTCAATCTATTTGGTGATCCCCTCGAGCTGGAGTGATGATGGCAATGTACTTTGTTACTAGGCGTCTTCAGTTGTATTTTTTAAATAAGAAATTCATATAATTAACCCTACTGTATGATCAAAAGAATATAATTTAGAGGAAACAACAAACCTTTCTACCACAAGGTCTGCTTGTGGAATTGGACCTTCACTACCAGAAACAATGTGAGGGTAGAACTCAGCAGGAAATTCCAGTAACAATCTGTCAATAAGACACAGACGCCCAAGCAAAGCCTGCCAATTCATAGACTCTGTTGAAGTGCCCAGAATACAGCTTAAGACATAGTCAACACCTCCAACTCCAATAGACCCTGTAAAAATAAACGGAAACAAACGGGTGTTACATTTACATAGTTATATAGTGTTCAGCCCAACTAATCCATGCCGGTCCATACTCCAAATGAATCCCCCCACGCTCTTATTTCCCTCATCTATTCCCTATCTCATGTTTTCTCTTAAACAAATTGGATGCTATTTGCTTCAACCATAGCTTCTTGCAGTGAGTTCCATATGCTCATCACCCTCTGCGTGAAGAAGTTAAAACTCCCCCATAAGATCTACTACTGTGTCTAAATTTCAGTAAATACATTCTACACCTACAATTTCTTTCATATAATCAGCAGTATGACCAAATGCACAAGAACTGCAGCGGACCCATGACGGAAATTGATGTCGACTGATCTAAAGCAAAAATAATTTCACATTGGCTATATGCATCATATGATATTGCATATGATGATTATTTTTCTCCTTCTTCCAATCTGTCCCATTGCTCCTCTCCTAAAGGACATGGGTTGACTGGAATATGGTTCCAAGAATATCAGTAGCCCTTTGAAACACCCACCAAGTATTAATTTCTCATTCTCACCAGTGTGTGATGGTGAAATCCCCTACAAGGGTCATAACATGTATTTGAAGCTGTCCTTACCCAATTTCCAGGTTAATCCACTTCTTGCAGTGCTTACTGTTCACCTGGCTAATCTTTTCCCCTCTCTAGTGCAGAAACAGTAAGGCCATATTGTATGCATCTTTATCATCCCAGCTGATATTAGCTCACTCAGCATGAAGCACATTTGGTACCTACATGAAGCTTATGCCACTTGCTACCGTCTGCTCATACACAAAGCTTTAAGTTATGTTATTGGTAAGTTGATGAACCGCATTTTTTTCTTTCAGTGCAGGAAGCTACAATAGCCATCATCTGGATCATTAGTTCATTCCAACATTACTTCCTGCTTTGCACATGAGCAAAGTTCAGCCATTCTATTAATGAATCTGTGCTATTGTGAAGTGTGTTATAATGGGGCTGCACTGTATCACAAACAACATTAAAATAGATGTTTACACAAAGATGCAGCACTAAATTTAAATTAATTGAAACAGCAATTCTGTAGCTTGCCTGATTTGAGAATCTCTCTGCCCACAGCAAGTTCTCCAGATTGGCCTTTGCACAGTTCCAGCAGTGTGGACACAGAGAGCTGACTTGTACGGCTGAAAATAAAATTAGAAAAAACAAACCTTGGTAACCATTCGCTTTTGGACATGCCTTTAAGTTAAAATACCATATTTATTACTTTCAACATAGTAATCACATTTTACAGTAATTTATGCTCAAACTAGAACACAGATCTTCAGAGCTTTCCATCTATAAATTAGTTGCTAAATGGCTGCAAAATAATTTTCACAACTTTCTAAATGAGCAGAAGAGTACATTTTTACATTTATATTGCACCTTTTACAGTGGGAGGACATCTCAAAGTGCTTCACACAGCTGGCTGGCTAACCAGACACTTGGTTGTAGCCACTGAAATACTGGACCCAGCTAGCCACATTAAAATGGGGTTACTCTATATATGGGTATTCTCTGATAACCAAAAAACAAAGTGAGGGAAGTTTTAAAGCTGCTTTTAACTTCTTGAATATACTTAAAGTGAAATAAGGCTTATAAGTAGGATTTATTGTCGTGTAATCAAATGCAAAATGTAATCCACCAAAAGCAGTCATTAACTTTGAAATTGAGATCTCAATTCCAGAAAGTGGTCAAAGTTTATAGATCTACGTATTGTTCATTACCTGTTCGCATCTGCACATTTGACCAATATGGTTTCCACCACTGGCCTGAGAAGTCGCTGAAGTCGAGCTCTTTCTGCTACTGCATGACAAGGCGTATAGACCAGCATGGCTCTTAACGTTTTCTACAAAAATAAAAAAAAATTCTCAGTAACATTTTATTTACCAAGTGTTTCAACTTTCTAATGCAATTTGTGTGAATGAACAAACCTAGTTTTGAAAATAATTTAACTACTATAACACCTGGTTCAAACCAACCTTTACCAACGTTTTGCAAATTATACTAACATATTAATTGTTTCAGTCAGCCTTTGATGCCAAATTTACCCACTAAAAGCTCTTGATAGTTTCAAATTTCCCCACAAAAATATCTGTAAATGAAATGGCAGTAAATAATGATCAATAGACTCTGGAAATAATTTAAATATTTTTTTTCCATTTTTTAAAATTAAAGAAATGATAATAATAATCAACGCATTTGGTATAGCATCTTATCACGTTGTTGAGAAGTCTCAAAGTGCTTCACAGGATTTTACTATGAAGTGTCGTGACTGTATTTAAAGGCAAACCTGGTAGCCAATTTGTGCACAACAATGTCTCACAAACAGCCATGAAGTGAATGTCAATATTGAATTTTACTGAGCCATGAAGTGAATGACAATGATATTTATGGGTAGTGCAGGAAAGCTACTCTAGGCCACAAGGGATCAATTATATGATCGAGCAACATTCAGCTGTATCCAACTATTTTTTTAAAAAAAATTATGCCTCCCATTTGCCTACATACAAGGGCAACAGATGGAACCAGAGTACTAAAATAAATTCAGTTTAGCAGTACAAAATTAAATGTATGCATCTGAATATTTGAATAAACATTTGGATATAGGCACCATTGGGTGTCAGTCATGGGAAAGTGCAGGTTCACCACTCACAAGTGTTGATATGAATTTTGGGCATTCAGCTAAGTGAAGGAGTCGGGTAGAGAGCAGGGACTTCAGGATATTAGCAAGTGTATCCTGGAAGGAGACTCAAAACAACATTGTTAGAGGTCTGGTACCAGTCCTCAAGGAGCACAATGCCCACAGAAAATGGAGAAACTGAGCGCAATTTTTTTTTTCCAGACCTTCATAAATAAAAACTAAAGGTCTGTCAGGCTGTTGTTCTGGAGAACAATGGCTGAGCAGTGTTAAGGGTTTACTGGATGAAATCTCTATTGGAATAGATTGAGAACGTTCGCACCTCAGAGCAGCATAAATGTGTAAAGTCACATTAAGGAGGCACTAAAGACCAGGGAAAGGAAAAAATCAGGAGGATGCAGATACTGAAGAGACAGTCTATTAGGAATATTTGCCCTACTTCTGAATTATCATGGTATCTGGAGGATACTGAATGAATTGATAGACCGTTGATACAGTTTTACACAATTCAACTTCTAGAGGGAATAAAGTCTAAAGTAGTCCAGTATATGAAGACTCCATACTTTATACTTGGCAAGTTAATAGCTGTGCAGGATGAATAAGAGCAAACATTCTATTATTCTTAAATCATCACAGCTCTTTTAGAGCCATGCGTTGTTTTTGGAAACTTGCCACCCACAGCAGTACAAACTGAAGAGGTGCAAAGTCTTAATTAGAATTATCAATGCAAATTGCTTCATCAGCAAATATCAGGGCCACATAGACAGATTCATCCGTTTCAAGTGATAAATGTCTGCTAACTTCATTCAGCTTCTTAATTAAAAGCATTTATTCTTCCAGCTCAAGGCAACTGAACCTAGTGTCTTTTTTAAAAAAATACTCACGACATAAAGGAAAATACATTTTGCCATAATTTAATCAGTTGTGGTAAAAGAAGGAATTTAGAAATGGAATTCAGAGGATTTCATTTGAATGTACTTTAATAGCTAGTCTCTAAAATGGTGAACTCATTTATACCACACAAAGTGGCACGATTCAACGATGAGCAAGGGTGAATGAAACCTCTTTACATTCTCACCAAAGCAACTCTTTACTGCCTCACCCCTCACGCTGCTGAAACTCTGGTCCACGCCTTTATCACCTCAAGGCTGGACTATGGGAACTCTCTCCTCACCGGCCTTCCCACCACCTCCCTCCACAAGCTGCAGGTCATTCAGAACTCTGCAGCTCGTGTACTGTCCCACACCAGGCTTCGTGACCACATCACTCCCAACCTCGCTCGCCTCCACTGGCTCCCCATCCCCCAGAGGATCGAATTCAAGATCCTCATCCTCACCTACAAGGCCATTCACGGCCTTGCTCCCTCCTACCTCTCTGACCTACTCTCCCCCTACCTACCTTGCCTGTACCCTCCGTTCCTCTGGCTCCGGTCTGCTCCACATCGCCCGCCCCAACCACCCTATCATCGGGGGCCGGGCCTTCAGCCTCTCAGCCCCCAGGCTCTGGAACTCTATCCCCCAGTGCCTTCGCCTTGCTTCCTCCCTTTCCTCCTTCAAGGCCGGTCTCAAGACCTTTCTCTTTGACCGTGCCTTCAGCTCCCCTCTCTACTCTCTACCCAACTCCTCGCTCCCTTCCCTCCGCTCACCCTGACCATTTCCCCCTTGCTCGGGTCCTGACTCAACTGTACAGCGCCTTGGGACGTCCTCCTGAAGTGAAAGTCGCTCTATAAATGGAATCTTGTTGTTGTTGCTAGCCTGCAAATTTGATAAGCAATAAAGTAAAAGATTAATAAGCTTATATTTTCAAATCAACAATAACTTATTATTAAAGTGCCCATCACATAGGATACTATCTTGGAGCGCTATACAGGGATGGTGTTGGATGGTGAGCGTGATGGGTGATTGGGGGGGGGGGGAAGAAGGGGCGTAGGCATGTTTTCAAATAACTTGTTAGAAGATTTTTTGTGGTGCTCTCGCAATGTGAAAATGAGCCATGGAAACCCCAAAAGTCCCACGTTTAATTCTCGATCCACACTGCCTACGTTTGCCTTAAGGCGCAAGGCAGGTTGCAAAGAAACTGGCTGTACATAAATTGGCTACCGGGTTCGCCTACAAAATACAGTCACTACACTTTACAGCGAATCCTGTAAAGCACTTTGAGATGACCTCCTGAGATGAAAGCCTGCGTCAAATGTAAGGAGACTTATTATTATGATTAAGGCACATCCTATATATAAAACCTTCTATTTCAATCAATGGAAGAAAAATATTTTGCAGTATTCTGAGACCAACCATTGATATTGTCCATCAGTTATTTATAGCTCTGGATCCTGTCTTTTTCTCCAGCAGCATAATACACATGTGCTGAAACAGAGGACCCTTTCTACAAGTCACATGACTATAAATCTAAATGAACAATGCTTTTTTCTATGTTCATGAATGCCAACCTCTCTAAACAAAATGCCACAAGCAAATGTCAGCTCCACTGAAGAGATTATGAATTCAAAAGGCCAGTGTTGAAAACAGTAAAGAGGAATGATTGGGTTTCAAACCTTTCATGTTGAAAGTCAGAATTCTTCAATAAAATTATTCCATCCTTCAAAAGCTCAAGATACAGAACTGAATGTCAGTCTATATTCTTATAATCTAATGCATCTATTTTGAGTAATTACTTCTCAGTTTTGTCGATTTCATAGATCCTGGACCTTACTTTTTTCAAAATCTTAAAGAATCTTTAAGATTATAAATATTGATATACTATAAATATATAAATACTTTGTGCAGGTTTCGCCCACAAATTACAGTCAATATACTTTACAGTATATTCTGTGAAGCGCTTTGAGATTTTCGACAACGTGATAAAGCACTAAATCAAATGCAAGGATGATTATTATCATTACTTCTGAATCTGGCGTGATTTAATTTAATAATATATTTGATGGTTTATTACACTGAATGTTCCCCAAGGAAGTTATTCTCAGAGGAATCTTTAAGATTATAAATATCGAATACAATACTAAATTGGCGCCCAATACTATATAATGAGTCACAGTTTCCTAATTGTAGTAATCAATAAACTCACAAGAAAAAAATGTTAAATCTGAAAAATATTTAATCTTAACATTCTCCCTATTACTCAGTACTTCCAGCAAAACATATTAATGACATAAAGGTCGAACTTCTCAAAGTTCTTCCAAACACTCTGTGCAAATAGCCAAGGTCAGCAACTTTAATGATCGCTAGAGTCCCAGTGTTCTATAAAAGTAGGAAAAAACGAAAACGGTTCAGGAAACAAATGTATTGAATATTTTGTGTATACAGAACGCTATTGCATTCCCAACAGGAAATTAGCCATAAAAACTTACCAAAGCTGCGACATACACTTTGTATACTGGGTCAGCACAGACCATGGAAAGTACACTGCAGCATGACTCCACTACTACATCTCCTGAGATGTCGGTCTGAGATGATCCACTGGCTCCCGTCAAACTACTACATCCATTGCTGCTTCCACTGCTACACGAGGAACTTCCAGTACGGATTTCACCATTGGCCAACAGCAAGGCTCCACTAACATCGTGGGAAAGACGCCTCAAAGCCATTTCTCGTACGTTCCAGTTCCGAGAAAAGAGACAGCTAACCAGTTCCATTCCAAATATCTGAACATGAAAACAGTGTCAAAGCAAAGGATTCAAAATAACTTATTTTGCTTTTATTTAGATTGTTAAAACAGTTGTTTACTAAGCCTGTTCTGAAATAACCAACACTTTTGAAATGCCCTCACCTGAATCCAGGGTTCTGCCAGCTCCTTATATGCTGGTGGGATTTGTTGAACCCCATAATGAGGCAGGTTAATGTCATTGTCCTGCTGTGGTCTCTGTGCCTCTACCGGGAGCGGTTGGCTCTGGACAGTCGGTGAACTTTGTGATTCATAGCTTTTTAAAGACAAAAGCATACGAAAATATAAACTTAGTAATAAATTATATTGTGAACTAATCATGTTGATGGATTATTCATCTATAAGCCTTCAATAGTACAAGGTAATGTGAGGTCTGTCTCAAGACCCAACATATTTGACCATGTTTTTGATCATCGTGCCCCTTCCCACCCCCTTGGCTCCCACCCCCTGCTCAGGTACCAAGGCAGTATTGTTAGGTGCCTCGGGAAATCCTCCCAAAATGAAAGGCACTAAATAATTGTAACATCTGTATTGCATCTGTCACATGTACATATTTTTTCACCCTGGAGTGTGTTAAATGAGGGACTGCTCTGGCAGACTCCTCTCTAGTTGAAGGTTGTATGAGAGGTTTCTGTTCAGATCCCCCTTCAAGATGACCAAAGGCACCACACTGAACTACTCTTTCCAGATCTACCAATTCAACATTCAAAGAACTCACTGAGAAGGGAGAATTAAACCTCTTACTGAATAACACTAGTAAACTGTTTAGTTGCTTATAGCTTCTTGCATGGCCATTTATGAAGGTAAAAATGCTGCTGAAGGAAATCCAATAATATTTAATTTCTACCCTTGGCCCACATCCCCATCACTGGAAGGGACAACAACAAAATTACATTTGTATAATGCCTTTCACGTCGGGAGGATGTGCCAAGGCGCTGGACAGACAGAGTTACGGACCCGAGCTGAGGGGTGGGGGAGAGGGGAGTGCAGGGAGATCCAGATGTCATGGGAAGATAATACATAGTCCTAGCATTACAGCAGTTGTGAAAAAAAGTCTTAAAAAAATATAAGTTTCACTTTAAAAAGTCACAAGCTCTAAAGTTGAAAATGCTACAAAGGAAATGTCAATATTCCATACAACCAACAACCCAAATAGCTCCAGTTTCATACAGCAAAAATGACTGCTCTCACCTGTGCAGTTCATGAGATTTCCATTTGGATCTACAGAGAGGGCAGATTAGCATCTCCCGGTTTCTTCTGCATTCCTCAGCCCCTAGAGTGAAATCCAGCAAAGATATTAAGTAAAATTTACAGAAGAGTAATACTTAGTATCAACAGCCTCACAGTTTCTCATGAGGATATCAAGTACCAAGCGGAGTAAGCTGTGAAAAACAACATATTATAAAGTAATTAAACATTGACAAAGTACTAAACACTTACAAATTGACATGCAGTGATGGTGGAGCTTATTCCTACACCCTTCTTCACACACAGTCAGGCTCTCCTCATCAAGCATATCCAACAGACAGATGGGGCACATCTGTTCTTCTTCATCCTTTAAGCTACAAAAATGAGAAAAGTATCCCTCAATTTGTCATTTTATGTAGCAACTCCATGATAACATGTTCATTTGAGTCCAATATCTCAGATACAGCATTATAATGAAACGTGAAAATACGACCAAGGTCTGGGTCATCAGGTTACCGATGAAGGAACTCCTACGTATTCCACTCGTGCACACTATTTGCAGTTCTGCTGATGTCACTTCCCTTGTGAAGTAACGACATTGTCACTTCTTGCATTTCCTGCTGAAACCCAGCACGCATGATGTGACAAGTGGCGCTTCCAAGCTTATCGACTCAAGCTCTCAGTGAACCAGTGCTCACCCACTGGCACATTCTATTTGGACCTGATCTAATGGCCCTGATTATTTAAAATATTGTTTTAAATCTGAAACATTATTAAAGACCACATCAACTTGTATATTGGATGTAAACTGCATCAAGAATCACGTACGACAATACAGATGGAAGAGGTTACTTGTACATGTGATAACATTTTTAAAAATGTTTGGTGATCCCGTGCCCCTCATCCCTTCTAAACCAACTGCCTCTTGGCACAGGTAAATTTCTCTTTCTTCTTAAAGCTTGAATTCACTACATACAACCTATCTACCCCATAAATGAAGCACCAGAATACTCACCTATGTTCTGTACTAGTCGTCGAGGTACTCAACGAAGCAGACACATGTGAATTAGACATGCGGGAAACAAACTTTTGTATCGTGTTCCGTGATGGAGCCTTGATACGTGAACTGCGCCGGTTGTGGTATTTCTGAAACAGACTCTCCACCTTTTTTAAAGAGGAAAAATACACACAAGCCATAAGCTCTAAAGCAAAGTTCACTGGCTATATTGATATACAGGAATTACAGAATATCATTCAATAAATTCCCCACCTTCTGTGCTTTCAAATCCCTATTTAGATCTACACCAGAGATCAATCACTACTACTCGTAGTAGTGGCAATAACGGAGACCTGGCTCAAACAAGGGCAGGAATGGGAGCCGAGTATTCCTGGCTACAATGTATTCAGAAGGGATAGGGAAGAAACAAAATGGAGAGGGAGTGACAATATTGATTAAAGACACAGTTACGGCCTTGGAAAGGCACGATGTGTTAGAGGGTCTTAAACCAGAATCTATTTGGTTAGCGTTAAGGAGCAGAAAAGGACCTGTTACTCTGTTAGGTGTTTACTATAGACCACCAAATAGTGGGAAGGAGATAGATGAGCAAATCTGCAAGCAGGTTTCAGAAAGATGCAAAACCAATAGAGTAGGGATAATGGGGGGACTTCAATTATTTTAACATAGACTGGCAAAATAACAGTGTAAAGGTCAAGGAGGGAGAAGGATTCCTGAAATGTGTGCAGGATAACTTTCTGGATCAGTACTTTTCCAGTCCAATGAGATAGAAAGCAGTGCTGGATCTAGTTCTGGGGAATGAAGTGGGGCAAGTGGAGCAAGTTTCAGTAGGAGAGCATCTGGACAACAGTGATCACAATATCATTACGTTTAGAGGACTTCTGTAAAGGGACAAGGAGCAGTCAAAGGTGAAGTTACTCAACTGGAAGAGGGCTAATTTCAATGAGTTTAAAAAGGGACCTAGCCAAGGTGGACTGGAAAGAAAGATTGGCAGATAAAACAGCTAATGAACAATAGGAAGTCTTCAAGGAGATAGTTCACGGACGGAATAAATACATTCTCACAAAGGTAGGGCATCCAAACCTCCCGGATGAATAAGAAAATTGGGATTAAAATAAAACAGAAAAGGGAGGCATATGATAAATGTCAGGTCCAAAATACAGAAGATAATCAAATAAAATCTTGAAAGTACAGAGGAGAACTGAAAAGGGAAATAAGAGGGCAAAGAGATTGTGTGAGAAAAGATTAGCAGGTAACATAAAAGGGAAACCTAAGATATTTTATAAGCATATAAAGAATAAAAGGTTAGTCAAAGGCAGGTGGGTCCAATTAGGGACCAAAGAGGAAATCTTCTTGTGAGGCAGAGGGCATGGCTGGTGTACTGAATAAGTACTTTGCATCTGTCTTCACAAAAGAGGATGCGGCCAATGCCACAGTATGAAAGGAGAGGGTAGAGAAATTGGGATAAGATAATTAAGATAATAATAAACTGAGAGGAGGTACTAAAATGGTTATTGGTCTCAAGGTAGATAAGTCACCCGGTCCAGATGGGATGCATCCTAGGTAGGCTACTGAGGGAAGTAACAATGGAAATAACAGAGGCTCTAGCCACAATCTTTCAATCCCCCTTGGACACCAGGGTGGTGCCAGAGGACTGGAGGGTTGCAAATGTTACTCCCCTGTACAAAAAGGGGCAGAAGGATAAACCCGGGAACTACAAGCTATCGTTAGTAGTGGGGAAACATCTAGAGACTATACTTCGGAGCAAAAGAAATTTTCACTTTGAAAAATATGGGTTAATAAAGGACAGCCAACATGGATTTGTTAAAGGCAAATAAGAGTTTATTGATGAAGTAATGGAGAGGGTGGATGAAGGTAGTGCAATTGACGCAGTTTATATGGATTTTCAAAAGGTGTTTGATGAAGTGCCACGTAAGAGACTTGCAAACAAAATAGAATCCCATGGTATTAAACGGTCAGTGGCAGCATGGATACAGAACTGGCAGGAGACAGAAAACAAAGAGTGATGGTGAACAGTTGTTTTTTCTGACTGGAGGGAAGTGTGCAGTGGTGTCCCCCAGGGGTCGGTATTGGGACCACTGCTGTTTTCGATCTATATAAATGACCTGGACTTGGGTATAGGGAGTACAGTTTCCCAGTTTGCAGATGATGCTAAGCTAGGGAAAGTAGTGAACAGTGAGGTGGATAGTAGCAAACTGCAAATGGACATAGACAGACTGGTAAAATGGGCCGACACGTGGCAGATGAAGTTTAATGTGGAGAAATGCAAAGTGATGCATTTTGGGAGGAAGAATGAAGAGAGGCAATATAAGATGATGGTACAATCTTAAAGGGGTGAAGGAACAGAGAGACCTGAGGGTTCATATAAGTAAATCTTTGAAGGTGGCAGGACAGGTAGATAAAGCTGTTAAAAAAGCATATGGCTTTATAAATAGGGGCATAGAATACAAAAGTCAGTAAGTTATGATAAACCTCTATAAAATACTGGTAAAGCCTCAGCTAGAGTATTGCGTTCATTTCTGGGCACCACACTTTAGGAAGGAAGTCAAGGCATTGGAGAGGGTGAAAAGGAGATTTACCAGGATGGTACCAGGAATGAGGGACTTCAGTTATCAGGAGAGGCGAGAGAAGTCAGGATTATTCTCCTTGGGGCAGAGAAGGTTAAGAGGAGACTTAATAGAAGTTTCCAAAATTATGAACGGATTCAATAGGGTGAACAAGGAGAAATTATTTCCACTGGCGGGTGGGTCAGTAAAACAAGGACATCAATTTAAAATAGTTGTTAAATGAAACAGAGGGGAGGTGAGGAGATTTTTTTTCATCCGCGAGTTGTTTGGATCTAGAATGCATTGCCTGAAAGGGTGGTGGAAGCCGAATGGATAACAACTTTTAAGTGAGAAGTAGATAACTATTTGGGGAGGACACGTTTGCAGGGCTATGGGGAGAGCACGGGGCAGTGGAATTCAATAGCTCTTTTTAGACATGATGGGCCGAATGGCCTCCTCCTGTGCTGTATGATTCAATGATTCTATGAAATACAAAAATAATAATAATAATCCTTGCATTTGATATAGCGCTTTTCACGTCGGGAGGACGTCCCAAAGCGCTTCACAGAACACACTGTAAAGTGAATTGACTGTATATTTGTGGGCGAACGCGGCAGCCAATTGTGCACAGCAATGTTCCATAAACAGTCGTAGATTGAAAATGACCAATTTATTATAGTTTTTGTTTTTGGTGGGATTATTATTAGGCGTGTGGAGTAAGGAAACTTGCCCAAGGTTTCGCCCTGCCTGGAATTGAACTCAGGTCTCTCACTTGCAAAGCGAGTGCTCTAACCACTGAGCTACAGGACTCCACGAGTAGATTATACATTAGCTATTTGCTAATAATACCATACGTCTGGCTGCTAAATTATCTGCATCTTTGTGTGGGGTTTCACAAACCATTTCATACAAGCATGTGATTAGTCTGAGGAATACTTTGTCATCAGTTGTACTTTGATGACTTTTGTATGTAACAAAGGAATCAGTCATGACGGAAAGGATAAATTACGCTAAAACAAATCTGCAGAAGCCTAGAAGAAATTAGGAATAAGAACTTGTTACTCTGCTTACCTCAAAGTTTTTTAACGTCTTCCTCCATAACAATGAGTCTGATGGCTCTAACTGGAAGACTCGAAGCATAACAAATAGGACATGAATGCAGAATGTTCCCCGTCCACAACTGCAGGTCTAGAAAGATTAGATATACGTTACAAAGTATGTACCTGCTTACTATGTACCAATCCACTTACTAATTCATTTACACTGGTTGAAGTGTAAGATTTTAAATGAAACATGAATATTTAAGCAACATTTTATTTGGTTAGACATCTTCAAGTGCCTATTTCCCATCTTGACCAATGCTTCATGCCCCTTTTTCCCCTCCCCTCTACCCCACTCCTCCTGCAAAAAAATCAATGTAAGCCAAGAAGTCATGAATACAAGATGCCAACTCACCTGAGGACCAATGAATACTCTGTATTTGTTATCAGGGGCATCGCCTCCAATAAGAAAAGAGTTTGGCCCAATTTGCTGCAACAGGTACAGTCGTGCTCGCATTACTTTATTGACCCTGCGATTTGTCTCTTCAGGGCTGTACGGTGAGAAGCCGTCAGGTGAAGGAGCTCTCCTGGGTGGGGTGACACGCCCACTCTGAAACTACAAAATAAGAGAATCTTTAAAGATCTCCAATCTTTCAAACCTGACCAGCTGACTGCAGGAGGTTTTTTGCTTTTTAAAAAAAAATTAAACAGATTATTCGATTTTGGAACAATAATTTTTCAGTCCTCATCTGTAACAGTAACATCTGGCAAATAATGTTTGACCTTTACAAGTGGAACTGCTCATTCTGTATTCCAGCAGTCAATTTACTCTTCAAATATAGAATGACTTCAGCCACATGCTGGATTATATATTAAAAAATTTTAAATCGAAATTGGCTCATTTGCTGCAAAAAGGGGTGCGCTAATACCTAATTCTCTTTAATGCAGCATTAAAACTTCTATTTATGGCTGGTAATTCCTTTGCATTGATGGGGGAGGTTGAAGAGAATTTTTTTTTAGATTTGAGTGAGAATAATTTTTGGTTGTTTTGTGAGATTTGACTAAAAGAGGGTTTCAGACTGCAGCAACACCCTGTATTTATTCACATTGCTCTTGTCAAACTATTTTAGGTGCCTGCTTTAAATGTATTCCACCAAGCAGGTGTATGTACGTGTAATGTTTTTCAGAGCTGTCTGGGTCACGATCAGGTTCTTGAAAAGAATCTTCTAAAATCCAACTGAGAACATTACCTCCTCATTTTAAATAGGAATATAACGAAGCAAACAATTAAGAATCCTGGTTGTTACAGCAGAGTGTAAGTGGGTTTGGGAAAAACAAAATAAATATTTGCATGTTTGGCGACTGCTACTAGTCAATGCCTCTAGTAGGTAAATGCTGCGTGTGAGTAACTGCTGTTCAGACATGTAATTCAGACTTTCAAGTTGCAGTTTCAAACTGCAGCACTAGTTGACACTATAACCATATCAACCAGTGCAGACACCAACTAGCCAGTTATTTTCCAGCTTCTGTGAGCCGATACAAAAAGAAAATCTCTCAATTTCCAATTAGAATCAAGACATTTCTCTCTCCGACCTCAATGGTTTGTTTCTTTCTCCACTTTAACTGATTCTTTAAGGCTTGTGGCACTTCTATCCTATAAAACTAACTCAAATGACCAAACCTTGCTTTCATTAATTTTTAGAATTCATTTCTTCTGGGTAACTTCAATCAATGCTTGCAGGCAACAGGGGGAAAAGAATCACTTTACAAACCTAAACCCCTTTTTAAAATTAGTTTTCAGCTACAAGGAGAGTTGAGGGAAAGGTATGGGTGCCCACCTTTTCAGATAGCGAAATGTGTGACTGTAGAATATCACAGATACAAATGCCACTTCAGAAAAATTAGCCCTTTCAAATATTTGACAAGCTATTCATTATAATATTAAAGCTCTTTCTTAAACATCAGAGGCCTGAAATTCCTCATGGCTTGGCCTTAAGCATTGTTTAAAGTGCAATATCTTTAAATTATTCCGTCTTAATTTGGAAACCATTTTCTGAAGTTCTTTTTAAAAACAATTTGCAAAACTCATACACAACTAACATTGAATTTAAGAATTTTCCAAACTTCTGCACAATCTTACATTGAAGGCTAAGAGGAAGAAGATTTCTGGGCCCCTGATTTTTTAAAAAAAATATAAATGGTGGAGATTCTCCTTTTCAATACTTACAGGAACAGGGGATACCCTCTTCCTTCTCACACCCGGCGATTCTGATTTTGCAGTATTTTTTGAGGAAGAGGAGGAGGAGGTCATGGAAGTAGATGAGCTGCTTGGAGAGGGGCTGCGTCTCCCTCTCTGCATTTGTGGGGAAGTGGTAAAGTTTTGAGAATCAGCCGCTGAACCGTCTGCTTTCACTGGAATTGGCTTCACTACCTGCATGGCAAAAAGTAATAAATTGTTCATCATTAGCACGTTTCAGGTGACTGTGACTAGGCTTTCAAAGAAAAACTGGTTTTAATCAAGCCTCACAAACATTACTTTTTTTCCACGTGAGTAAGCAAAACCTTCAACTATAAAGGTTCTGTAAAATTAATCTACAACATGTTCCGATCATTCATTTCACTCAGAACTTAATGCATGACTGAGGGAGACCAAACCAACACATTCAGACTTGACCTTGTCTGGCATTTTGCATTCCCCACTGTGTGTTACCGTAAAGGTAATTTGTTTTATTTCCCTGAAGTTTTATTGGAGACCCACCATCAAGGAGAAACAAACAACATAGGTCTCAAGAGATTAATTGAAACATTTGCACATTTTCATAAATGAGAACAAACTGCTCCAGTTTTTTCTATTCTGAGACATTTTCTGCACATAAAACATTCAGGTACACATTAAGTATGTTTACATCTTTAAGCAATAATATTCCATTTTTTTTGACTCACAATATTTGTGGAATGTTTAAACATTTACATTATATAATATTCAGACCAATTCAAACATTAAGAAATTTATAACTGCATATTGATAACTCCATGACTTTCAACAATCTTAACATGATGTGACTACATATTTATGATAATCTAGCACTTGTCATTCCTGGCATTTTCTCTGCTAATGCACTCATTGTTCTTGCTGCACTTTAGTATCATTGTGCAGTAGCCTATGCTACCTGACATAAATGGCCATTCTTCATCTGTGATCGTAGATGGTAAAGGGGAGTATTGACTGTGTCCACATGCGTGCGTGTATAATCCTAATAATAGGAGTGCTCCAAGGTGTCATTTTGTTTGAACGGCACTATGCAAACGCAAGTTGTTGCAACTTGCAATAATTCTTGAATTTTTTTATAGCACCTTTCACGTTGGGAGGACATCTCAAAGCGCTTCACACCATTTACTGTAAAGTGTAGTGATTGTGTACTTTATAGGCAAATGTTCACAAGTGTATAAATGTAATCCTGACTGTTTCCCCGTTCCCTAGCCCATTGCAGAGAGCCGTTAACTCAGTAAAGACTGGAATAGTCATTTGTGCTACATTAGGTAATGCCTTTAACCACATTGGAGTCCTGTAGCTCAGTGGTTAGAGCATTCTCCTCGCAAGCGAGAGACCTGGGTTCGATTCCCGGCAGGGCAAAACCTTGGGGAGGTTTCCTTGCTCCACATGCCTGATAATAATCTTTCAAGAAAAAATAAAATAATAATTTGGTCACTTCAATCCACAACTGTTTGTGGGACACTGCTGTGCGCAATTGCTGCCACGCTTCGCCCACAAATATAGTCAATTTACTTCATAGTATATTTTGTGAAGCGCTTTGAGATGTCTAGAAGACGTGAAAAGTGCTAAATCAAATGCAAGGATTATTATTGTTATTATTATTGGTAAACAAAGAAGTCCTTGATACGGCTAGACCTTTCTAAGGGACTCTAGGTAAGCATTAATAAAAGTGCCAAACCAGCACTACTCTGCTCTCAGACACTAATCAATACCAAGCAAAACAGCCAAGTGTTCCAAGATCAGGTTCTGTCTGCAAACTGCCTTGATTAGACATTAATTAACAGAGCAGCTACAATGCAACAAAAAACATCTGAATAAACTCAGAAGTAAAAATTCATTTTCTCTGTCCATTTTTTCCTTGATCCTTTTAAAGTTTCATTGTGCCACATTCTGTTCCCAGTTAAAACACCAGCCAGACAACCAAATAGCAATTCCGCTCCGGAGCCAGCTGCCAAGAAGTGGAGGAAACTAGTCTGGGTGGAGTGTATTTCCTCTCCTTCTGAGGAAGATATATCATTACACAAAGCACTGAGATGAGGTACCTATCAGGTACTGAATTCACAGGTAGGAACTGCGTACCATTGTGTGGCATTTGGGTCAAGCGATTGGATCCCCAGTCAAATGAGGAGGGCAGCAAATGTTTTATTGAACAAGTATCTCAAGAACATAAGGTGTTCATACACATTATTTGTGTGCCCAGCGATTGTAGCCAGAGAGTAATGTGATGCCAGCTCAATTTGTGTAACTATCTATTCACGTAAAGAAACAATAAACCATTGTAACAGTTTACAATTCAGGGCCAATCCCTCAGCAAATCAATTCTAAGCTATGCTTACCACAGGTCCTCTCCTGTTCCTCCTCTCCAGCCACTCATGTTTCCAGGCTGGCATGCACGTTGCCTTGAGCTTTTCCCTGATCATGCGCTCTTCGGGGCGGTCATCCATTTTTGGCAAGCCTCTGAGCGTCTCTTTATTTTCCATATCACGACTAGAGGAAGAGGAAAACATGAAGGATCAGAGTTAATGAATGTCAGACAAAATCCATTTCGTCCATTCAAAAATGTCAAGTGCTCAACTTCAAACAGTTTGGGTTTGGGTTGTAATTCAAAATTAATTTATTATACCAGAATACAACTGCCAAAGTAATTGCCCAGAGTTTGAGTAGTCTACTAGGTATCTACATTTGAAAAACACAGAGCAAAACAAATTCTAAACCAAACATTAGAACAAGTACAGAGGAGATTCACGAGAATGATACCAGGAATGGGGAAGCTTAGCTATGAGGACAGGCTGGAAAAGTTAGGACTTTTCCCATTAGATAGAGGTCTTCAAGATCATGAAAGGCTAGATAAGGAAAAGCTGTTTCCGCTGGTAGGTGTGTCTGTGACCCGTGGTCACAGTCTTAAGATATCTACCAAAAGAAGCAGAGGGGAGGAGGTTAGAAGAATTTTTTTCACTCAGCGAGTTGTTAGAATTTGGAATGATCTGCCTGAAAGGGCAGTGAAGTCCGATTCGATAACAGCTTTTAAGAGAGAACTGGATAGGTATCTGGGGAAGACAGGTTTCAGGGTTCTGAGGAGAAAGCTGGTGAGTTAGGTTAATAAAAGTCAAAGAGCCGGCACAGACTCGATGGGCCGAATGGCCTCCTTCTGTGCCGTAACATTCTATGATTCTATGAAGTGCTAACATGCCATTAAGTCTATCACTAATCTAATGCTGACAACAAACCTCATCAACTTAAATTTTAAATGTATAACCTAACCATACATATCATATGGTGGGGAGGAAGCAAATGAGAGGGCTACCAAGAACCCAGTTATGAAGAAAAACAGAGAGAAACATATTTATCGAAATAAATTAATTGGATATCACTTCAAGGAACAAAACTTTCACTGCACTGCACATTTATTACCTCTCTGGTGCTTGATATTACTTAATAGAAAGGGAATGGAGAGAAGAGATATCTATCCATTAGAAAGAAACGTGAAATGGCCCAAGACCAGACCGTGTCACAGTATTTAAGGGCAGACATTTTACAATAGATTGTCATGCAGATGACTGATGTGCTAGAAGCGTTTTTTCTGACATTGCAAGTCTTCGATGAACTTGTAGAAAATAGAGCTCTTTCCAGTGGTAGAGGTGTGTTACTGCAGCATTAATATTTACAATGCAGATTGCACAATACATTGAATAACTCCTCAATATGCTCACAAAACGACACCAATATACATTCAGCTAACTTGACAAACAAAACGATAAAGGGAAAAAAAAACTACAGGTGACAAAAGTGAAAGTAACACAAAATAGCTCAGAATTGCTCCAGATTTTAAATGTTGCATTCCATGCAGCAGACTGATCAGAGCTGAAATACTGACCATTAATATAATAATAATCCTTGCATTTGATAGTGTCTTCGAGACATCTCAAAGTGCTTCACAGAATATACTGTAACGTGAATATGGAGGAACAATGCAGATACGATACTTGTGTTATATTGTGCTCACTACTGTACTTTGTTCAAATGTAACTTGTAGTTTGTTGTATTGTAAGCCCAAAGAGCCACTCTTCTATCAGACCAAAAAAATGAACAAAACAATTGCTACAACCCAATCCTGTAGGAGACACTGTGGAAAACTTGGATCCTTTTTACAGTGATTCCTAAAACCACCAAAAATGTTAGTTACTAGGTCATACACAATAAATACAATCTAAACACGCTCAATTCCGCAGCAACCCCTACATTACTGAGACAGCTGCACTTTATCACTTCCACCTACTGCTTAACTGATACTTTCCAAGTTGATCTGCAGACTTTTAGTTAGTTTAAAAGGGGAAAACTTTCCAACCTCCTTGCATTTCTTTACAAAGAGGCTGATCAGCGTGAGCTGTGAAAAGATACACCATCAATAGCCTAGAAAAACAGTACCATCCCTTTTCTGTTGAAACATTTATACTGAGTTTTCTTAATAATCCTAATAACAAGGCTTGCATTTGATATAGCGCTTATCATATTATTGAGACTTCTCAAAGCGCTTCACAGAATATACAGTATAGTGGGTTGACTGTATTTTGCGAAACAATATTCCTTATATTTGATCCAATGCCTTATTGCGTCAAAATGTCTCAAAGCCCTTCAAATGCGTTCTGTAAAGTGTACTCGCTGTGTAAATAAACTGTTGGGGTAAATTTAAAANTAAACATGCCACCGATTCATAATTGCTCTTTGCATCATACCTCTGGTGCTGCCGCGGAGTACTAGAATGCATGTGACTATGAAGAATATTACTGCACAATGTCACCATGAATATTGTATGTTTCCTTCCACATACAATACAATTTACACTTATATATAGCTCCTTTCAGGTCAGGAAGAATGTCCCAAAGCGCTTGACTGTTCTGCCTAGGCACTGGAGCTGTGTGTGGGAGCTGAGGAGGGGAAAGATGACTGAAAGTGCAGTCAAAGAGGGATGTTTTGAGGTGTAGCTTGAAAGAGGGGAGGGTATAAAGTGGCAAATGCCACACAAAATGTCAGCATCCCTTTCATTTTCCTTGCTCTTCCTACTTTCATCAAGCATGGCATTAAGTGGTCCTTTGCATGTTAAGAGTATGTCGAACGTCTGGTATGCTCTCAGTTCACAATTAACCAAATAATACATTGAGGAGCTCAATCTACTAGATCTGGATATAGGAGAGAGAAGGGAACAGAAGGCATACAGGGGGATTAAAATCAGTGGAGGCTCATGTGGCATATTAACACTGGCACAGGTTAGCTAGGACGCGTGGAGACTCATGTGGAGTGCAAACTAGTGAACACGAACTAGTTAGGATGAACTGCCTGTTTCAGTACTTGTAGATTCTATCTAATTTTATGGTAATGTGCATGCGGAGTGCACGAAAAAACTGTAAATTAACAGGATACAACTGCACCTGGTCCCAGTACAAATTAATAATAATAATAATAATAATAATAATCCTTGCATTTGATATACCGCTTTTCACGTCGGGAGGACGTCCCAAAGCGCTTCACAGAACACACTGTAAAGTGAATTGACTGTATATTTGTGGGCAAACGCGGCAGCCAATTGCGCACAGCAATGTCCCACAAACAGTCGTAGATTGAAAATGACCAATTTATTATTGTTTTTTTTTTTGGAGGGATTATTATTAGGTGTGTGGAGTAAGGAAACTTGCCCAAGGTTTCGCCCTGCCTGGAATTGAATTCAGGTCTCTCGCTTGCAAAGCGAGTGCTCTAACCACTGAGCTACAGGACTCCAGTAGTCCACAAATTGGACACAACATCATCACAAATCACTGTGCATTACTGATATTAAAGGGTATGAGAACAAAGAGTGGGATTAGAATGTAGCTCATGTGAATATTATCTCAATTAATCAATTTTGATTCCTTGTGATAATATTCTAAAGATAAATAATCAGTTAAATAAGCTGTTTAAGTACAAAATGGTTAAAAATACAAATCTTTGCCAGTCAAGGAAATAATCTGTTTAACTATCCCATATTGCAAATATTGGCACACAACCAATTAGATGCAATTAGAGATGTAAACCGCTTTGAATGTTCATTAATTTCCAAGGAACTTCAAAGCACAAATCCAGTTTTAAAGAGTTATCCTCATTTAGTTGCACTTTTCCCAGCCTGATTTGCTTCCCATCAACATCTCCGTTGCCCGACTTTCCTTCCAAGTTCTGATTTTACACCAAGTCTGCTGTTTTCCAAACAAGATTGCCCCCACCCCCACCACACACACAAACTCTGACACACACACACATGCACGCTTGGCCTGCCTCCTGATTGACATCAATGACAATTAGAAGACTTTAAATCAATTTTAAGAGACAATGCCCTATAAATATCTAGTCAACACTCGTAGAATTCAACAATAAACCTTAGTATATACAGACTTTTGAAAAATACAGTACATGACCAGCTGGGATCACCTTATCCATAACAATGCTTGGCTTGCAGGGTTACTGAGCTTGCATGCTATTCTTTTTCTTTATATCAGTGGTGGCCAACCCTTTTGGTCAGCAAACCAAATATTTTTTTCTTGTGGTCAGACAACAAAATTTAAAAAAAGTGACAGAACTGAATGCCAACTTTGAAAGCTCCATTCTGTAAGTATACTTTTGGATTTCTCGAGAAGTGGACTCAATTTTTATTTTTGAATAACTTTTTGAAATACATAAATTTGGGCAAATAGCTAAGCTGCTAGGAGTCTCAACTCCAAAGCTGGTCCTGGCACTTGCGAGTGCATGTGTCTGGGTCAATAACATTGTTTTAAAAATTAACCATATAAAAAATAAAGTTAACAGACCCTTCAGATGTAGTCTAGACACCAAATCACTTAGTAGCTTTAATTACAGCACAGAATGGAAGTTCCCACCTATATGCATTCCTAACCCAGAATCCACATCTCCAGACTAAATACCTAACTACCTTTCAGTACAAAGGGCAGTTACAAAATTGAAATGGAAGTCAAAATAAAAGTTTCCTCCTGGAATTTTCAAAGAAAAAGCTCATAAATGCCAATCGTGTTTTGAAGTAACTAGTGTATTCACAATCAGTGAAACAATTAGCCAAAATCCTCGTGCATATGTTTGTCATCTTCCGCCTCGATTACTCAAATCACTCCTTGACCGTCTCCCCAGCTCTCCACTATTCAAACGATCCAGCTCATTCAGAAGTCCTCCGCCCGCGAAATTACCTGGACCAAACTCCATTCCCATACCTCACCAGTTCTAGTCAGGTTCCACTGGCTCCCCATCACCGAATGGATCGACTTCAAGATCCTCACACTTATGTTGAAATCTCTTCACTCTCTAGCACCTCCCTACCTCTCCAACCTCCTCACTCGCCAATCCACCACTGAGTACCTCCGCTCAACTGGCGCCCTCTCTAAATCCCGCCAGAAAACCTTCCTCTTCGACCATGCTTACAGCCATACCCCGCCCCCCACTGGCTCGGAGTC